CCCGACTCCGCGCTCTTACGCGGAGGCGATAGAGGGTCCCTACTCCTCTCAGTGGCAGGCAGCTATGGACACAGAGATGGCTTCCTGGAAGTCCACAGGCACCTACGTTGACGAGGTTCCCCCGCCTGGGGCGAACATCGTCAGTGGCATGTGGATTTTCAGGGTGAAGCGACCGCCGGGTTCTCCGCCTGTCTTCAAGGCGCGTTACGTGGCTCGTGGCTTCAGTCAGCGGCAGGGAGTTGACTACTTTCAGACCTTCTCTCCCACCCCGAAGATGACCACTCTTCGGGTACTGCTGCACATAGCTGCTCACCGCGACTACGAGCTGCACTCTCTTGACTTCAGCACTGCTTTCTTGCAGGGCAGCCTGCACGAGGAGATCTGGCTGCGTCGCCCACCTGGCTTCACTGGGTCTTTTCCTCCTGGCACCCAGTGGAGCCTCCGGCGGCCAGTCTACGGTCTCCGCCAGGCACCGCGTGAGTGGCACGACACACTGAGGACTACACTTGCGGCTCTTGGGTTTGCTCCCTCTACTGCCGACCCGTCGCTGTTTCTGCGCACCGACACTTCTTTGCCGCCGTTCTACATCCTCGTGTACGTCGACGACTTGGTCTTTGCCACAGCTGACACTGCTGGACTCGCCCACGTGAAGTCCGAGCTGCAGAAGAGACACACGTGCACAGACCTGGGTGAACTGCGCAGCTACCTTGGCTTGCAGATCACCCGGGACAGAGCACGCCGCACCATTACCCTGACTCAGTCACACATGGTGCAGCAGGTCCTTCAGCGCTTCGGCTTCACGTACTCCTCGCCTCAGGCCACTCCTCTGCCTACTCGCCACTCGCTCTCAGCTCTGCCTTCGGATGAGTCCGTAGAGTCGAGTGGCCCGTACCCAGAGCTTGTTGGCTGCCTCATGTACCTGATGACCTGCACACGACCTGACCTTGCATACCCTCTTAGCATTCTCGCACGCTATGTTGCTCCTGGGAGACACAGACCGGAGCACATGGCTGCAGCGAAGAGGGTGTTGCGCTACTTGTGCAGTACGTCGGGCATGGGGCTTGTGCTTGGAGGGCAGAGTCCAGTGGTCCTCACTGGGCACGCAGACGCTTCTTGGGCTGACGACCAGGCTACGCAGCGATCATCACAGGGTTACACCTTCAGCCTTGGTTCCGGCTCTGTTTCGTGGCGGGCTACCCGCTCGTCTTCTGTTCTCGGCTCCAGTTGTGAGGCTGAGATCTACGCCGGGGCCATGGCTGCACAGGAGCTTCGCTGGCTCACCTACCTGCTGACTGACCTCGGAGAGCCGCCTCGTTCTCCTCCAGTGCTGTACGTAGACAACAAGGCCATGCTGGCCTTGTGTCGAGAGCAGAGACTGGAGCACAGAACGAAGCACATTGCTCTCCGCTACTTCCTTGCTCGTGAGCTACAGCAGCGTGGTCAGCTGCGGCTTGCGTACGTGGCCTCTCAGGCCAACACTGCTGATATCTTCACCAAGGCACTTGCGCCTTGTGATCATCAGCGCTTCTGTACTCAGCTGGGTCTTGTGCCTACCTTGCCTCACTTGCTCACCCCTTGACCTTATTTGTACTGTTGCATATATATATACACCTGCTCTTGCTTGTCTAGCCTTATATATATATGTAATCCTGCATGTGAACTGGCCTTGTGGCCTTGAACTTGTGCTTGGAATGTGTGGTGACTTTGTGATCCACCCTGAGCTTGCTTTGCTTTGCTTGACTGGACTTGTGACCCCTTGTTCTCCCCCACTTTGCCTATGGGGGTGTGTCAGATTTATATGACATAGCTACTGTAGGCTATAGTGGGGTAGCACATATGGGGTACAGTTTTCTAGGGTTTGCATTTGTACCCAACTTTCCCTTAGTCAATCCATTCTCGTTCAGTTTCTCAGATACCACCCCCAGAGCGTGCTTGGCAGCAGGTGACGATGGACTTCGTAACGGGGTTACCGGCCGGAGCAAGTTCGAACGACGCGACCATGTTCGTCGTCGATCGGCTGATGAAGATGGCACATTTCGCAGCCAGCAAGAAAACAATCAGCCGAAGAAACAGCCCGGCTATTCATCTCCACCGTCGTTCGACTGCACGGGATACCAGCGGCGATCATCAGCGACCGCGGCACGAAATTCACCAGCAACTTCTGGAGGAACATGTGGCAGCAGTCGGCACATGACTACAGTTCAGCTCATCGTACCTCCCGAAACTGACAATCGGACGGAACGGACCAACCATGGAGCAATTAATCCGAGCCACGTGCGACGACCCGGCAACATGGGAACAGCAACTGCCACTCATCGAGTTCGCGTACAACAACTCCACGTCAGCCACGACGCAGCAGTCACCGTTCTACCTCAATTACGGACAGAACCCTACAGTACCCATGACGTCGAACCCCGACAACCCAGTACCACGTGCGCAACAGTTCGCCGAAGTATTACAGGCAGCCCGGACCCGAGCAGCAGACGAAAAAAAAAAAAAAAAAAAAAAAAAAAATCCTCATCGCTAAGCGCAACGCTGATCGCCACCGTCGCCCCGTAACTTACCAGCCCGACGTCCTCGTACTTCTCGACACCCAGAACCTCCGCCTGCCCATAACCCCAAAACCCCACCCTCGATATTGTGGGCCATTCCGCGTCAGCCACATGATCACACCCGTGACCGCCCACCTCCTCCTGCCTGCCGACTGGTACGTCAGCCCATCCTTCCACGTTAGCATCTTCCGCCCCTACGTCCCATCGACGAGTCAACTGCCACGCAGCCGCCCATCCAGCATGACGCGACCACCAGGCCCTACGATATCAGGAACTTTTCCCTGAAATTCCTGATTTTCAGGGATTTTTTTGTACCTACCCTGATTTTCCAGTGTTCAGCTTTTTGGGGGACTGATTTTTCAGCCTTCAGGGGCCAGATGACTCTGAACTTTCAGGTTTTTTTTTAAGGGACACTGATTACACTACCGGTACGTTGTAACGAAACTGACACTGAATGTGGCAGCAGCACCTCCAGCAAGAGAGGGGGAGGGCAGTGGCAATGGCAAGGGAAAGGAGGCAGATGAGGAGGAGGAGTTGGAAGAACCAGAGACTAACAGCAGTGATGATGATGAGTAAATGAACCCTCTGTTGCTGATGCTTGCTAGCTAGTTAGTGTTATCTTATTTGAAGTTCAATATCAGCCTTTACAAAAAGGGAACACTGATGCATCAGACTTCTTTTGAAGGTAACACTGAATTTTCAGGCTTTTTTTGGGGGGGACACTGACGATCAGGGATTCTACACAGAGTGGCCCTGATGCATTAACGTGCCTAAAAGTGAATCATAGGCCCTGGCGACCACCCACCGAGCCCGTCATAACCCCCGAAAAAAATATTGAGCCACCGGGTTCGAGACCCACGTGGAGCCCGCAGGATCGAGTTTCTGATTCGCTGGAAAGACCGCACCCCCACGGAAGACTACTGGGTGCCCTTGGATAGATTGAAAACCACCCCGTCCTCACCGAGTGCCTACGCAGCCGCAATTTTCGAGATGTACACGCACTCTTGTAAGGGGAGCCTCCTTGGGGAGGGGGGTAGTCTAAGGAAAATTCATTTTCCTTACTTCGCGCCCCTGCTTGACGCATACACTGTTCCCACAGCAGCACTCTACAGTAAAATGTTACCCGCTCGCGACACTCGCCTCGACCACTGTTCCCGCCACTGTACACATCGCGACCCAACCTCACGGTTCGGTTAGTAACCTGCGCTCCGATTCTCCGCCTCGACAATTCCCAACCTCAGCGCCACCACATTCTCGCGCATTACGGTTACCACGATAGGCTTTCACTATATATTGTTTGCTCATTCCTTCGCTCATTGTACTCTTGCTTCGATAGTGCAATCTTCGTTCTCTCACTCAATTGCACTCGTAACAAAGAGTTTGAATTATATCGGACAGCCTGGTTTTCTCGTTTCACCACTTTGAACCGCTCGTTGCTCACCAGCCTGAATATTCGTGCACGAACTCTCGAAGAGGAGAAGGGCTGTCCAGCGCGTACTATTACACGGTTCTTGGAACTTTTCCACACGGTGAGCCGCCGTTGTACACCGTTTTACACCGCGACGCAACTTGATGGACCGCACAAAGCGAACAAGTTACTCTTTCTTTCTGCATTTAGAGTTCCACAATCTTGAAAATTCCGCATGCTGCTGAATCCATTTTCTTGGGAATCCCGCGTTTTTGTGCCTGCGGGAATCTCCTATTCCTTGAACTTCTAAGCGACGGCGTCACCTTTGAGCGACCTGCTTGTCCCTCTTTCAACGCCGGCGCTGCGTAATCTCCTTTTGTAATCGAGTCTTCCCCAGCCGTTCCACCTGGTGTTAGTATCTGCACGTTATCTTCGTTAGCCGACATCAGCGTTTCCGCGTCCGCGGTAGTTTCGGATGAATGGTACAAGACAGCGAGTAGATTATAATAAACACACCGTCGAGCAACACATAGGAAGAAGATATCGGCAGATTAGGAAGACGGTTTCGACGAGCAACTATCGCCAGTTTCGTCTTTCCTGCTTGAGTTTGCTCGCAGGGGGATCACACCGTTCCGTCACTCGTTCCACCCCTTCTCACCCCTCTCCACGCCTCTTCCACCGCTCTTAACCCTTCTCGTGTCAAAATGGCGGCCACTCAGGAGTCGGTCTGCCGGCGCTGCAGATCGCTATTTAGACGGGAAGAGAATCCACCCCAAGACGTTTGTGAGCCGCAAGCATGACGACCAGAAGAGGTGCGAGCCGGTAGGCAGTGTGCTGGGGAGAGAGGGGGGTACAGAAGGAGGGAGAACAGCCAAGATGTGTGCCGGTTCCACCCCAAGATGTTTGTGAGCCGCAAGCATGATGACCAAAAGAGGTGCGAGCCGGTAGGCAGTGTGTTGGGGAGAGAGGGGGGTACAGAAGGAGGGAGAACAGCCAAGAGGCATGCCGGTTTCACCCCAAGATGTTCGTGAGCCGCAAGCATGGTGATCAAAAGAGGTGCGTGCGAGCTGGAGGTGTAATCAAGGGGTCTTGGTAGGGTGGTTCGAGGGAGAAGGGAAGGGGGAGGCAGCATTGTTCATGAACAGCAAAGAGGCGTGCTGGGTAGCTTCTATGTTCCTACGAGCTCTGGGTAACGCCCACAGATATTACGAGCTCTGGGTAACACCCACAGATACTACGAGCTCTGGGTAACACCCACAGATATTACGAGCTGAAGGACAGGTGACTTTTGAGTCGACTCAAAAGTCCACCCCCAGATACTAGTACTGTTACAATATATATTGTGTAGCATGCCAACACATGTGACTGTACACCAATTGTGGTGTACAGTTGGGTTGGGACTACACCCAACTTTGGGTGTAGTCTTGCACTTTGGGGTGCCAATCCACCCAATTGTGGTGGAGCCCCCAAATGCAACCCTCTTGACTTGTGGGTACCTCACTTCCCACAATTGAGGTTACCCCAAGCCAAGTGGGCCTAGGGTTGCCTCACTTCTACAAAGTGTGGGCAACCCAACCCACTTGACCTATGGTTCCCTCACTTCCCCAAGTGAGGTCAACCCAACCTATGGTCACTTTCATCCTTCCCTTCCAACCTCCCCTTCCAACTATGTATGCTAGGTTGTTCCTCTAATCTAATTACTTGTTCAATTCACAATCTTCACATGGTATAGAGCTAGTTGTTCCTAAGCCTTTTCTCTCCCTCCCTCAAAGTTTTTTCTTCCCCATGGGCCCACCCCACAGCCACAAACCCCCTACGTGTGGCTCAACCTAGCATCTCCTTGGCACAACCTACGTCGTCGCCGCCCTCCCCTCCCTCCGCCGTGATTGCGCCCTCCTCGCCTGCGGATCCCACCGCCGCGAGTGCATCACCGCCCCCCGTCGCCGCGACACACCGTCGCTGCCCCCCCCCCCCCCTCCCCCTTTTTTCCGCTGCCGCGCCTTCCCTGGCGCCGCCTGCACATCCCGCCGCGACGCCTCGTCGCCGCCTCCTCCTCCCCCTGCCGCGACCCCCCGTCGCCGTCTCCCTCCCGCCGCCGCGCCTACTTCGGCGTCGCCCGCGCATCCCTCCGCCGCGACGCCCCGTCGTCGCCTGCCCCTCCCGCTGCCGCGACGTCGCGTCGCCGCCTCCCCCCACCGCCGCCGCGCCTTCCTCGGCGCCGCCTGCGCATCCCGCCGCCGCGACGCCCCGTCGTCGCCTCCTGTCCCGCCGCCGCGACTTCGCGTCGCCGCCTGCACTCCCCATCGCCGCGACCCCCCGTCGCCGCCTACGCATCCCGCCGCCGCGACCCGCTCGTCGCCGCCTGCACGATCCGCCGCCGCGACTTCGCGTCGCCGCCTGCACGACCCGCCGCCGCGACTTCGCGTCGCCGCCTGCACGACCCGCCGCCGCGACTTCGCGTCGCCGCCTGCGCATCCCGTCGCCGCGACCTTCTCGTCGCCGCCTGCACCCCTTGCCGCCGCGACCTTCTCGTCGCCGCCTGCACCCCTTGCCGCCGCGACCTAAAGTCGCCGCCCGCGCGACCTCCTGCCGCGACCTGCTCGTCGCCGCCCGCACATCCCGTCGCCGCGACCTAACAATCGCCGCCCCCGCATCCTACCGCCGCGACCTGCTCGTCGCCGCCCGCGCATCCCGCCGCCGCGCCTTCCTCGTCGCCGCCCGCGCATCCCACCGCCGCGCCTTCCCCGTCGCCGCCCGCGCATCCCTCCGCCGCGCCCTACTCGTCGCCGCTCGCTCATTCCGCCGCCTCCCTCGTCGCCACCCGCGCATCCCGCCGCCGCACGTTCCTCGTAGCAGCCGCCTCATCCCGCAGCAGCAGCGTCATTGGCAGCAACAGCTTCGCCCACAGCTACACCTGCGTTCTCCCTCCCCCTCCCCCTTTCCTCCTCCTCTCCTCCCACGCAGCAGCAGCCGGGACAGCTCAGCAGCCACAGCAGCAACAGCGGCAGCAGCGGCAGCATCAGGAGCAGCGACAGCAGCGGCAGCAGCTGCATCCACCATCTTCCTCCCTCTCCTCCCCTCCCCCCCCCCCTCCTCCCTCTCAGCAGCAGCAGCGGCAGCAGCGGCAGCAGCGGCAGCAGCGGCAGCAGCGGCAGCAGCGGCAGCAGCGGCAGCAGCGGCAGCAGCAGCAGCAGCCGGAGAAGAACTCCACTCCCCGCAGCAGCACCCCCCTCCCCTCCCCCCCCCCCCCCCCCCCCCCCCCTCCCCTCCTCCCTCTCGGCTGCCGCGGGTCCACCCGCCGTCGCCCTCCCACTTGACCGCCGCGGGTCCACCCGCCGCCGTCCACCTCGAGGCCGCCGCGGGTCCACCCGCCGTCGCCCCTCATGGCTACCACTCCTCCCCCTCTCCCCCCTCCCATTGACGCCTCCTCCGTCGACAAGCTTCAGCTTGCCGCGGACCGCTCGGCGATCAACTGGCATTCCTTCGTCGGGAGCATCCGCCGTGTTCTCCAAGATGCATTCGTCGGACCCTACTGCGTCCTTGACGTCCTCCTCCGCCGCCCGCAAGCCCTCCAGCCCACGGCACCCAATCACCCAGGCGAACCCCCTCCACCCCCCATTCCTCCTGGTCCTCCTCCTCCTGAACCCACCTTGGAGATCGCCACTACCCCAGCGCTCCAAGATGCCGCCGATGCCGCATTTCTCCACGATCGCCGCGAATACCTCATCCGCAAGGCGGAGCATGAGGTTGCGGTACATAACCACGACTTCGCGGTAGCGGAACGCGCCAATCGCCTGGCGCTCCTTGATGAGTACAATACGGCCATGGCGGACTACCTCCCTCGGAGCATCGCATGGGCCACTGCTGACAACCGCGCCTGCACCATCCTCCTCGGCGCACTCCCTGATACCCTCATGCGCCGTTTCCAAGCTCGCGAGATGCGCGCCTCCCTCATCTGGGCCGAGCTCCAGGCCATGTTCGAGCGTCGCGACATCAGCTCTGTCGGCGCCCTGTTCCAGGAGTACTTCTCCATCACCCTCGCCACTTGTGATGGCGAAGTTGACTACGTGGGGCGCATGCAAGAGGTCGTTGATCGCCTTGCGGCACGCCAAGCTGCCCTCCCCGAGCCCCTGCAAATCCACCGCCTCCTCTACAACCTCACCCCGGACTACGAGTCCCGCCTCCATGCCTTCACTGAGGCCAACCCCATGGCCGGCCTCGACGACGTGGTCCAGTGGATCATTGACACGGAGGTCAAGCTCCGCACCCCCGTTGTCAACCTTACCACCCCTCAGTCCTCCTCCTCCACCTCCCTCAACGCTACGCAGCCGCGCAACCAGGGTGGACGCGGTGGCGGCGGCGGAGGCCGTGGAGCGGGTGGCGGTGGTGGTGGTGGAGGCCGTGGTGGTGGCGGTGGTGGTAGTGGTGGTAGTGGTGGCCGTGGTGGCCGTGGTGGCGGTGGTGGTGGTGCTGGCAGCGCCCCTGCTGGAGGTGCTGTGACTCGAGGCGGACGCCCTGGCACTCTCCCCCCATGCACATATGTGCGTCGCCATGGTCCCCATGCAGGTACCCCTTGCGGCCAGACCAACCATCCCCCCACCACGTGCTTTAAGGCACTCGACGACGCCTGGTTTGATCGCGGCAACACTGGCACCCCTCCTCGCTGGAACTCGGTCACACCTCGCCCCTCCTTAGTGGATATTCAAACCCTCCCCGCTTTCCTTCCTGCTCACCTCCGCATGGTTACCCCCTCCCCACCCTCACAGCTGCAGCAGTTTCAGCAGCACCAGCAGCAGCAGCACCTGTACTTCCACCACCAGCAGCAGCAGCAGCCGCAGTTTCTCCAGCCCCAGCAGCCGCCGCCGCCGCAGTTCTTCCAGCCACCGCCGCAGCAGCAGCAGCAGTTCCTTCCCCCACCCTGGCAGCAGCAGCCACTCACCTTCGGCACAGCGGCCATGGCCGCTCATACCTCCCTTCCTCCTCCTCCCCCCTGGGGTTCCCTCCCCTCTGCCCCCCCCAGTGTTCCCGACACTTCTGGTAGTTTCCTTGGTAATATCAGTGTTGCACCGTCCGTCGCTGCCATGTATCCCTCTGCTATCAATGAGACTTCGTTTCAGTACCCCGTCCCACCCCCTCCTCCCTCTTCTCCCACCCTGGACTTTGTCCTTGACAGTGGAGCCACTGAAACCGCACTGAAAGACGCTGGCACTCTCACCCCACTACCACTTCCCACTCAGGTTCATGGGGCTGATTCCATCTTTTCCATTCCATGCACTCACCTCTCCACCCTCCCTTGCACTGCCTTCCCCTCCGGTAAGGTCACAGGTCTCCACATCCCCACTCTCCGCAACAACCTCCTCTCCCACCGTGAGCTCCAAGGTGTTGGTATCACTGCCATTTACCCCGGTTATGCCAATTACTGTGATCTCTACCAAACCTCATCCGGTCGCTTCCTTCTCCGCATTCCGCTTTGCCCCCGCACTCGCCTCTACACACTCCGCACGCCTCGCCCATCCTTCTTCCACGTCACCACTCGTTCCGGTGCTTCCACCGGTCCACCTCCTCCTCCTTTACTTCCCCCTTCCCCTCCCCCTCAAGTATCCTCTTCTCCCTCCCCACCATCCTCCTCCTCCCCTCCCGTTCCTTCCATCACCCCATCTCCCTCCTCCTCCACTACCCTCTCCCACCCTGCTGTCCTCTTACACCACAGACTCGGCCATCCCAACTTCACCGCCCTTCGCACCACAGTCACCTCTCGCCTCCTCCGCAGCCTTCCTCCTGTTTTACCTCCCCTCCCCTCCTCCCCCTCTCCCCCATGCCCTTCATGCATTCACGGCAAGCTCAAACAGTCCCCCCACCACAGTCATCCCACCTTCGCCGCCGCCCCCATTGACCTTGTGCACATGGACCTCTGGGGCCCCTATCCCATCCGCTCCCGCCAGGGGCATCGGTACATGCTCGTCCTCGTTGACGACCACAGCCGGTACTCCACCACCTTCTTCCTTCACACGAAAGACCAGGTGCCGGCAGTGGTCATCAACTGGGCCGAACAGTGCCGCAATCACTTCAAACGCCCCATCGGCCGCCTTCACTCTGACGGTGGGGGTGAGTTCATCAATAACACCCTTGCCACATACTGCAACACCTACGGCATCCAACAGACCTCCACCCTTCCCCACTCCCCTCAGGAGAACGGCATTGCTGAGAGCCGCATTCGTGAGATCACCAAGATAGCTCGCTGTCTCATTGCTCATGCCTCCACCCCTCCTTCCCTCTGGAGCTATGCCCTCCTCCACGCCGCTCTTCTCCTTAATCTCCGCTCCCACCCTCAGCATCCTTCCTCCTCCCCTACAGAGCTTTGGTCCAACGCCAAACCCGACGCTGCCGGCCTTCGCGTTTGGGGCTGCAAGGCCTTCGTTCTCATCCCACCCGCCGACCGCTCCCGCGCCGCTGGCAAGCTTGCTCCTCGCGCCCTGGAATGCGTTTACCTTGGGCACAATCGCGACTCCCCAGGCTACCTCTTCCTCCACCCTCCCACCAATCGCCTCATCCGCAGCGGCGACGTCATCTTCGACGAATCCGTCCCCTATTACTCCACTCCTCCCCCTGATCCTCTCCCTCCTCCCACTCGTCCCCTTGCTTGGACCGACACCGTCCTCCCGCCCCTTCTCCCTCCAGCCCCTCTCCTCCCACCCGTCGCAGCTCCGCTCCCGCCCTCCTCCTCCGCCGATGTCTACGACCCTGCCGCACCCGCTTCCCCTGCTCACTCGGCCGCACCCCCTCCCCCCCCTCCCTCCTCCTCTCCCTCTCCCTCCTTCCAGCGGCCGGATCAGCAGCAGCAGCAGCAGCAGCAGCCGCAGCAGCAACAGCAGCAGCAGCAGCAGCCGGGACAGCAGCCGGGGCAGCAGCAGCAGCAGCAGCCGGGCTAGCAGCAGCAGCAGCAGCGGCAGCCGGGACAGCAGCAGCAGCAGCAGCAGCAGCAGCAGCAGCAGCAGCAGCAGCGGCAGCAGCAGCAGCAGCAGCCTCAGCAGCCTCAGCAGCCGCAGCACCAGCACGGTCAGCCGCAGCCGCAGCAACAAGGGCAGCAGCTTCCGCAGCACCAGCAGCAGCAGCGGCGTCGTGCCACTTCCCGTTCCTCCCCCTTCCTCCTCCCTTACATCCATACCCGCTCTGTGGACAAAATCCTTGGGGCTCCTCCTCCTGCCTCCATTCAGCTCCTTGAGGACTCCCATGAGGAGTTTCTTAACATTCGGGAGCACACTCCATTCCTTGCCGCCCTCTACCTTGACTTCCTGGGCTTTCCTGTCCTTGGCGCCACTACTACCCCCACCATCTTCACTCCCTCCACCTTCCAGGAAGCCATCACCTGCCCTGATGCGGATAAATGGATAGCAGCGATCTTCCTGGAGTGTGAGGCTTTCATTCGCAACGACTCCTTTGTCGATGTCCCCCTCCCTGCTGGCGCTAATCTCGTTGACGGCAAATGGGTCTTTCGGGTGAAGCAGCTGCCGGGCGAGGAACCAGTGTACAAGGCCCGCTACTGCGCCAAGGGGTTCACGCAGACTTGGGCTGAGGACTACTAGTTCACCTACGCCCCCACCGCCAAACCACCCACCCTTCGCGCCGCCATGGACATTGGTGCACGTGACGACATGGAAATCGACTCCATGGACGTCTCCAATGCGTTCCTGCAGGGCGACCTGCATGAGCGCATTTTCCTCCGGCGACCCCCCGGGTTCCACGCAGCCTTTCCTGAGAACACTGTCTGGCAGCTGCGTCGCCCCGTCTACGGCTTGAAGCAGGCACCGCGTGAGTGGCATGCGAAGCTGGCTGCCACCTTGGGGTCCCTCGGCTTCTCTGCTTCCCACTCCGACGCCAGCCTCTTCATCCGCTCCTCCCCCCGCCGCTTCTTCATTCTGGTATATGTCGACGACATGATCCTGCTCTCTGACACCAAGGCCGACATGGGGCAGGTGAAGCTGTCCCTGCAGCAGCGGCTCAAGTGCAAAGACCTTGGCGCCCTCACTCACTACCTCGGCATGACCATCACGCGCAACCGCCCTGCTCGCACAATCACCCTCTCCCAGTCCCATTACATCGGCCAGGTCTTGGAGAAGTTCGACATGGCGCAAGCCAAGCCTGTTTCCACCCCGCTCCCCTTCGGTCACCAACTCGCTCCACCCACCTCCCCCACCTCCTCCCCCCACCCCTATGCCGAGCTCGTTGGGTCCTTGATGTACGCAATGATGTGCACCCGCCCCGACCTCGCCTACCCCATCAGCGTGCTCGCTCGCTTTGTCGGCCCCGGTCGTCACTCTGAGGAGCACTGGAAAGCTGCCAAGCGGGTCCTCCGCTACCTTCGCGGGACCAGGGACCTTGCCCTCACCCTCGGCGGCCCTTCCCGTCCCCTTCTCTCTCCACCTGCGAAGCCGAGCTCTACGCTGGCACCATGGCCGCCCAGGAGTCGCGCTGGCTCTGCTTCCTTCTTGCGGAGCTTGGCGCCCCCCAGACGTGCCCCACTCTCTGGTGCGACAACGCCAGCACCATCCATCTCACTCAGGACCCCGTCTATCACGCCCGCTCCAAGCACATCGAACTCCGCTACTTCTTCGTTCGCGAGCTCGTCCAGAAGGGCCTCATTGCCGTTCGCAAAATTGCAACCGAGGCCAACTTGGCCGACATCTTCACTAAGGCCCTCCTTCGCCCCGCGCACTCTGCCTTCCTCCGCCTCATTGGCCTTGCTCGCCCGGGCGCCCCTTGATTCAGGGGTTGTTCTCTTCTTGTGTTAGCATGCTAAGGGGTTGTGTTACAATATATATTGTGTAGCATGCCAACACATGTGACTGTACACCAATTGTGGTGTACAGTTGGGTTGGGACTACACCCAACTTTGGGTGTAGTCTTGCACTTTGGGGTGCCAATCCACCCAATTGTGGTGGAGCCCCCAAATGCAACCCTCTTGACTTGTGGGTACCTCACTTCCCACAATTGAGGTTACCCCAAGCCAAGTGGGCCTAGGGTTGCCTCACTTCTACAAAGTGTGGGCAACCCAACCCACTTGACCTATGGTTCCCTCACTTCCCCAAGTGAGGTCAACCCAACCTATGGTCACTTTCATCCTTCCCTTCCAACCTCCCCTTCCAACTATGTATGCTAGGTTGTTCCTCTAATCTAATTACTTGTTCAATTCACAATCTTCACAAGTACGAGCTGAAGGACAGGTGATCCAGATTATCTGGCTAGCTTCTATGTTGCCTGTCACAGTGCCACAACCCCCTTATCCCTCCCTTTCTCTCAACACCCACAGGTACTACGAACTGAAGGACGGCGACCCGGAGTACCCAGCTCGTTTCTACAATTGCTGTCATAGTGCCACAACACAAGCCCCTTATCTCACCTACTTTTCCCACTTATCTCTCAATGCCCACAGGTACTATGAGCTGAAGGACGGCGACCCGGAGTACCCGGCTCGCTTCTACGATTGCTGTGGTGCGGAGGATCCCAGTGCGCCTGGATGCACCACCGCTTGCCACGTGTCGTACGATGATGCTTGAAACGAGATTGAAGGGTGATTGTATTGAGGAAAGCAGGGCAACGAGCACGAGGAGAGAAGAAATACCTTTATTGACAGCTTCAATGAGACTCAGGTTCCATGGGGGCCTGTGTGGAAGGTTATGTTATGGCCCAGAAATATTGTGGGTGCCTTGCTTGGAGAGCGTACATAAGCAGGTCTGGTTTGGCTTATCAAATAACATATGATTGCATACAAAAACTACGCGAATCGCGTCAAAAATATAAAATATCCTATCACTAAGCTTCCTATCACCTTCTTAAGTCTCTAAACTACTGCTCGGCTACTACAGCTCAAGCTACTGCACATGCTGCTGATTCTCCTGCAATTGCTGCTGCTGTGGTTGCTGCTGCTGTTGCGAATACCTGGCCATTACCACCACTGTATGGTTACCACACCAATGTGGTTACCACCACCCATGTGAGAAAGCTGCAATGTGGTTACGATGATCACCGATGCTTCCTTTCAATCCCCTCCATTACAGTGCCTTATCCCCGTGCACAAACTGCCGAACCTCGTCGTACATGACGAGAATGAATGCCGCCCCAGTGCCCCTCAGTATATTGCTGAAGAGCCCCTTATAGAACCCCAGCAACCCCTCCTGCCGATACACGTGCTTCCAGCAAGCCCACGTGCTCTTGAACACCACGATCTTTCGTCCCGGTTGCTGCTGCTGTTGCTGCTGTTGGTGGTGGTGCTGCTGAGCCTTGCCCTGCGGTTGACCCGGTTGACTCAGTTGACCTGCTCGACCCGGTTGACCCAGTTGACCCAGTTGTCCCGGTTGACGTGTCTGACCAGGTTGACCTGGTTGACTCGTCTGACCTGATTGACCAGGTTGACTCAGCTGACTCAGTTGACTCTGTTGACCAAGTGCTTGGCTCTGAGGTTGCACGTGCTGTAGCTGGTGGCTGTCAAACGAGTGGCTCAGAGGACATGCAGCTGGTGCAGACACTCGCACGTTGGGTGTTTGTGCAACATGCATGCTGGTGGCAACAGCAGGATTCACACCAGGCGTTGCTTGAGCTCCTGCAACGGCCGCAGCTAATCCCATTCCTGCTCCTGCTGCGGCTGCTTCTGCTCCTGCTGCTGCTACCGCTGGCACTCCTCCTACTCCTCCTCCACCTCCCCCTGCCGGCCCTGCTCGCCCTGCTTCGCCTCTCCTCGGCTTTGCAAGCCCAGCTTGCATCATCATGCGGTGTCGCACGGTGTCAAAAGGGTAAGACACCACACTAGCCGTTGTCGTTGCTGCCTGTGCCAACATCCATTTTAACCAGAACGGCGCGTGCCCCAAACCGTCCCCATTCCCACCCCCATCCTCCTCTCCAGCCCTTCTCTTTTCTCCTCTCACCACCTCACTCTTTGCTCCACTCGTTCCTCCCCCTACTAGCGCTGCCCCTCCTCCCTCTCCTCCTCCATCTCCTCCATCCCCTCTTCCTCCCTCTCCTCCTCTCCCTCCCCCACCGTGGCCCTTCAACAGCAGCTGCTTGGCACTATCGAACCCGCCAAAGTACAGGCTCCTATGCACGATGATCCCATGCACAGACGCAGGAAATCCGCGATATAAGCCTCGGACCCCCTCCGCCCGCCAGAGCGCCGCTATAACGGATCGCATGCCTGCAAACTGCCTGCGCGTGCCTATATCGGTGGCTAGGCGCGTGTGCGCCACGTCTAGGGGGTACGTGACTAGGAGGCTCGTGGCGCCTGCTGCTGCGCCTGCCAGGAAGTTTCCTGCCGCGATTCGCGTGGCCGAAGGGTCTGTGAGTAGGTGCGAGGGGGCGAAGAGAACGCGATAGTAGTCCTGTGTGCGGGAGGAGGAGAAACGACAACAGGGGAAGGACAACGGCGGCAAGGGGGGGACGAAGCAGGGATTGGGGAGACGCAAGTGGGAGGAGGTGGGGGTTGGGGCGATTGAGTTAACTCAAACGTACGTGAGACGGGGCGAAGAGTACGCGATAATAGTCCTGCGTGTGTGGGCGCGGGGAGGGGGAGGAGAAACGTGGGGTTTGGGAAAGGACAAAGGTGGGAGTGGAGGGTTGGGGGAGGGGTGGGCTTTTGTATGAATTCAAACGTAGGTGAGACGGGGCGAAGAGAACGCGATAGTAGTCCTGAGTGCGGGAAAGGCGGGGGGGACAAACATGGGAAGCCGTGGCCGAAGGAGGGATGGGGGAGACGCAAGCGGGAGGAGGGTAGGGTTGGGGCAATTGAGTTAACTCAAACGTAGGTGAGACGGGGCGAAGAGAACGCGATAGTAGTCCTGCGTGCGGGAGGGGAGGGGCGCGGGGGGGTTGGAACCGGGGACGGGGGGGGCGGGGAACCAGGTTGTGACGGGGAAGGGGATTTGACAGAAACATAGTGGAAGGGTAGGAGAATTCTGAGTGGATTTAAAAGCGGCAGAAAGACAGAGAAAGGGTAGGCGCCACTGCCACTTACACTAGGCGATGAGATGCGAATGCGAATCCGTTACCAACCTATGTCATGGACGTTACAGATACAGACGTCACGGACTGACCTCTCACGGACTGACCTTGAACGCGAAGTTGAGCGCGAGCGAGCGATTGGTAGTAGCGCATAACACTCGTCCCGTTCCCGCGCCACAGCAGCGCTTTTGAGAATTCTCAAAAGTGATTTCAATATAGACCTCTCACGGGCTGACCTTGAAAGCAAAATTGAGCGCGAGCGAGGGGTAGTAGCGCATAACACTCGTGCCGTTCCCTCGCCACAGCGCCCAGAAGCCTTCCTCTTTCACGATAGTCGTCACCGCGTCCACGAACTGACCCTCTGACCCTCACAACTGACCTTGAACGCGAAGTTGAGAGCGAGAGATGGGTAGTAGCGCATGACGCTCGTGCCGTTCCCGCGCCACAGCGCCCAGAAGCCTTCCTCCTTCACGATAGTCGTGACCGCGTCGACGAACAGACCCTCTGACCCTTTCATGAACGTACCTTGAAAGCAAAATTGAGCGCGAGCGAGGGGTAGTAGCGCATGACGCTCGTGCCGTTCCCTCTCCAGAGCGCCCAGAAGCCTTCCTCTTTCACGATAGTCGTCACCGCGTCGACGAATCCGCGGTACCGCCGGTGCTGCCCCGCGAGGATGGCGGCGTTGCTGTCCTGCGTCTGCAGCAGCAGCTTCACGCGCTCGATCGGCGCCACGATCGTGTGCGACACGCCGCCTAAAGCGCCGCCGAGTGCGAGATCGAGAGCGAACGACTGCCAGCTCGCGCCTTGCTGCTGCCGCCACCGCGCCAGCTGCTGCGCCGCCTGCGTAGCCTGCGCCGCTTGCGCCGCCGGGACCGCCGGGACCGCCGGGACCGCCGCTGGGCCCGCCGCCGCTTGCGCTGACGCGGCTGCCGCAGTTCCTGCTGGTTCCGATAGTAGGGTTTCTGTCGCTTCGCCGCTGCTGGTGGTTCGGAGGGACATGACGCTCAACTGCAGCCGTCCGATCGTATCTGAGGACGTATGGTGAAGTTGCAGCCGTCCGATTGTGTCTGTGGGAGGTGAATGGACGTGAGAGTGTATACGCGCTACTGCATGACGCACCGGCCCATACAGTCCCAGGTTTTGCCGCGAGGTTGGTTGGATCGAAGGCGACGGTGAATTTGCTGATAGGCGATCAATCACTGTCGAATGGTAACCACCTTGACAATTGTGGTAACCACCGGGACGACTGTGGTAACATGTTGCACTCGGCTGTGCAGGCGAGGAAAAGGCGTCTGACTTTCTGCTTTCAGGAGGAAGAGCCTGCGAGTGCAGGTGGATCGAATCTGCCGCACATGACGGCGTATTTGACGGCTCATTCGACGGCGCACTTGACTGCGAAGAGCGCAACCGATCCGTATGCATCGTTGCGATCCGACTGATCTGACTTGATCCGATGATGTCCGTATTATCCTTCAGACCTGATCCTGACGCAGACGAGGTCTCATTTGATAAGTGCGATCAGACAGCTGATGATGACTCACGAGCGGTTATCAAGTCCGTGTTTTTTCCTTGGCGACCTGAATTCTAGACCCATCATGGCGAGCGTAAGTTAAAAGCCATGGACGCTTCAAGCCAGGTATGTCACGAAGCACACTTTCTGGGGAGTGAGCCTCGTACAACTCCCCGAAGGAAACTATGCCGAGCAACTGACTAATCTCTTGGTGCTCGCAGATCATCTCTAGAGATTACACTAGAGATTAGTACTGACTACACCAGAGAAGTGCACCTGACCTAGAGAGTAGTCCGAGCTTCGCCTGGTTTCGCCCGAAGCTGGAGAGGTGCGGGGGGTTTGGCAGAGGTCTGGGGAAAAGGCCTTGGCTACCTTGGGGCTCTCCGGCGAGGCTCGGCATCAGTGGTTTGAGCGGCTGGTATGGGATCTCCAAGGTGATGGGGATTTGGCGCCACGTGACAAGCAACGAGCCCCACGATGACAGGCCGCCTTCGCCAATGACATACATCCAAACTGCGTTACAAGCCATAATAACTAGATGCTTACATATGTCAGCTATTAACAAGATTTAGTTCAGGCCGGACCGGATGCAAATCGAGCACAAAAAATAAAGGAAACAAAACCTATGAGGAAATTGATGTTGACATACTCTTTCCAAGTCTTATATTAACCCAATCCTCCATACATTCCAACTCCCTAGAGCCCTACACAACCTGCTAGCCAAGCCTTGGGGTCCATCCCGTGTTGCCAGACATACACCATCTCATCCCATCCACACGACACCATAAGCCCTTCAACCAACGGGCTCCAATCCAACCCGACCGCAAACTCCGTATGATAATCCAACTTCCCTAAAAGCGCGTCTTCCGGAGCTCTAAAATCCCACGAGCACACAGTCATGTCATACGACGCCGAAGCAAGCAACGGCTCGTGGAACGGCGAGCACCGCACGCGCCGAACCGCATACGCGTGCCCTTGCAACCGAGCCAGAGGCTCGGGGCGGCCAGGCCCGGGCCGAGGCGCCCGGATGTCCCACATGCAGATGGTTCGGTCGACCGAAGCTGTGGCGATGAGTGACCCGCCGCCGTACTTGTTCCAATCACAGGAGAGGATTTCCATGTCGTGGGCTGGGAGGACGAGGACGGACCGCGGCTCACGCAGGTCCCAAATGCGGAGAGTGCAATCGCCAGATGCTGATGCGAAGACATCTGGGTGGGCGGGGTTCCTGAGGAGGTGGGGAGTGGATGAAAGGAGAGGGGTGAGCAGGGAGGCACGAGCACGGACCGCGGCTCACGGAGTTCCCAAATGCGGAGAGTGCAATCACCAGATGCTGATGCGAATACATCGGGGTGGGCAGGGCTGTGGGGGTGAGGGGTGGAGCAAGGGAGAGAGAGGAGATGAGTGGAGGGGAGGGTACGAAGGGAGGGCGCGGAGTGGACAAAGGAGGGAGGAGATGATGAGAGGGGAGGATACGAAAGGAGAGGGTGGAGTGGACAAAGGGATGGGATGGGGTCACATGGAAGAGTTGAAGGGAAGACTTCGATGTGATAGGCTGGGAGGATGAGCACTGATCGTGGCTCACCATGAATGCACACTGAATGCACACTGAATGCTCCAATGGATTGTTTAAACTTGAGACCTCTCGATTTGCGTAGGTTGTTTTCTATTTACAGGATATATCTAAGACAAGTCCCATACCAGACGGCAGAGTAGACGCAGTACGTGTGCTCCCTGAACGTCCTCAGAGACTGCCCTGACTCCAGCGCCCACAGCTGCAACGGGGGAGGACGAGAAGGGCGGGAGGACAGGAAGGGCGGGAAGGGCGGGACACAACAGGGGCATGAGGCGATGAACAAGGGCAAGACTTCTAAGTCAGACCAAGTCAGCTCAGAATACTCCAGTGCACAAGGCTGGAAACGGAGGCGATGAGAGCAAGACGCAGGCGAAGAAGAGGTGAGCAATGGCATGCTACGGTGCATGAGGAATCAGAGATGCACAATGGCACAATGTCTTCTTGACGGCCTGACAGGGTGGCCACTGATGGCTGCAGGGTGGATGAAATGAAGGCAGTGTTGGCCACTTTGTGAGGCTAAGACCTCGATTGTGTCACCTCGATTGTATCACCTCGATTGTATCACCTCGATTGTATCACCTCGATTGTGTTACCTCGATTGTGTTACCTTGATTGTGTTACCTTGATTGTGTCATCCCAGGACGATGACAGGAAGGAGTCACGTCGCACAACGTTCCAATCCACCGATTGGCTGGAGGGAGGAGAAGAAAGGGGAAGGGGGAAGCGATATTTTGTGTTACAAATTGATATATCTATATATATATACATATATATATATATTTATACAGTTGTGGGAGGGTGAGGGTGAGGGATGGATAGGGAGAGTGTGAGAGGTTGAGACGAGGTCAATTAACAAAAAACAGTGGGAAATATGTTGGGAGCAGACTCAAGGGGGCAGAAGATCGAAACATGTATACCCAAAAAGGCAGCGAATCAGCAGAAATACACTAAGACGGGCAGGGGATACACACACTTCTCGAATGTGTTCTTCGAAGCTGCGAATAGGGTTGCTGGCCGGAGGGAGAGCCAAGTCCCATATCTGGGGAGGGTGAGAGCAAAAGAGGCAAAACGAGGGAATCTTAGAAGGGATAAATGAGGAGAGGAAAATGCGAAAACCCGAGTATTTATTCTATCTATCAAGGGCAGGGGAGAAGGATGAGAGGAGGATATAACAGGGGCGAAGGAAGCAGGCAGGAAGCATCTCGACACTATGAATGCTTAAAGGGTCCTTGCATTACATATCCTGGGTACAATGTGCTACTGATACTAGTGTAAGAACATTCTAAACATGCTACGACAGCTCCTGCTGCGGCTCTAAAAGGGACAAAATTGATGCTATCATGGTAGGCTGTTCCAACTAGAATGGTCAAGACAAGGAGTTCACCCAGCAGGGAAGCAAAGCAGCAAGGGCGTGCATTGCGCACAAGGCCACTCACCTTGACACTGCCATCACCACTGGCGGACACAAGAAGATTCTCATTTGCCTGGAACCAAGGAAAAAGGGCAGAGGGGAAGGGGCGGAGGGAAGGCGCGGAGGGACGGGGGTGGAGGGAACGGGGTGGAGGGAACGGGGTGGAGGGAACGGGGCGGAGGGAAAGGGGGGGAGGGAAAGGGGCGGAAAAAGAAGTTTTTTTTTTTTTTTTTTTTTTTTTTTTCACGAAGGATTTAAATGATGAAAAGGTCTTCCCACGTCAGATTCGCATCATTTGCCATCGTATGATGCCTGGAGCCTACGCTTCACCTGACTGGCTTCGCCGCCTCATACCAACCCACTGCAGCAGCATGTAATGCAAACAACCCCACTGCACCGCATTGTACCGCACTGCACCTCACCTCACTCCAGCAGCAGTCGTACAGCCCGTCTGCCGTGTCGTACGCCATCACTTCCACCAACCCGCCTCCTGGGGAGAGCTGAGGGACCGACAATGGGTGGTGGAGCAGGGAAGAGAATAATGGATGGAGGGAGAGAGAAGAATGGATGGTGGGAGAGAGAAGAATGGATGGTGGGGGGGACGATAAGTCGATTCAGAGACGTCTCAATAAGCAGCAGTCATTCAGCCCATCTGCCTGTCATACCCCTTGGAGAGAGGAGCGGAGAGGAGGTGGGGGGAGAGGAGCGGGGTTGGAGACAGAAGCAACGCCTTTCGAAGGAGTTGGACAAAATGACACATTTTGAGCCTTTTACAGAGTAATATGGTGCCAACGACACCAAGGTTGAGTGCGGTGCAGTGCGGTACCTCGAGGACGTGCAAACGGCCGTTGCCAATGATGCCGAAGTTCTGTGCTGTGGCGACAGCCAGTCGGTTCTCCACAAACGGACTGAAGCGAGCCTGCATGCAGACAGGGGCAAATGGAGCAAGCACAAAGGTGGATAGGATGCGCGGAGTGTTGAGACATGTAAGAACTAAGGCTGAAGCGGCCCTGGGACACACAGTGGGAAAATGGAGGAAGCACAAAGAGGAAACTGCGCGAGTCAGGAGGAGCGAGTCGACAACCATAGGGAGAGACAGGCTCAAGCGGCTAGCCTAAGTACCATAGGAGAAACGGCGGAAGGTAAAACGGGGGTGTGAGAACGTCTCAACGAGATATGACGGAGAACTGAAGCCGCTCGTTAATTAGCTCGTCTGCTTGTCATCCTCGCATCGCATCGATTTTTACTTTCGTTAATCCATGCTAAAATGGAGAATATGGATCTTCAGATTGCGTACCGAGTATCCATTGAACGCGGTCTTGAAACGAGGCATCGCTGCGAATCCCTACAGCAGCGCTCCAAGCGGTCTTGAAGCTTGGGATTGACAACTCTCCTAACGGTAGACTCCCAGAACGGTCAATCCGCAGAACGTTCGATCCGATTCACTTAACCGTAAAGCGATATTATCGGCTGGGAAGCTAAAAACTCTCAAGAAAAACCTGCTGATAGCTACTAGCTTCAGGTAATGTACGAAGCTGGGGAAGGAATATAACGAGCTGGAAAGGCGAACATTGTCTTGTGGTGCTCGCAAGAACGAAGCGGAGGTTGTGAAAATGCAGGAGGTTAATCGAAGAACGCCTTCAAAAGCTCGTTCGCTGACGAGCAAGTAATAAGTACGAATAAATTTTAGTGCTGCTGGTAGTTGACACGTCAGCATGAGGTGGCAATGGGCGAAGACAGCAAGAAAGGGGAAAAGCCCAACCAACCTCACAGATGGCGTTTGCGCATTGGCTAGATGGACACGAATAATTGCAACGAGAGTAGTTTCTGTAACAAGGATTCGCATTTTGCGAGATCACTTGGAAAATCGCAACGAGTCAGTGCGCAGAAGCCGTTTGCGAAAACGCTCGCGACACTGTCTCGCTGCGACAGCGAGAACGTGGGCGAATTCCGTCCAGACAAAGGGAACTCCACCCATCCTGGCAGATTCCAGCCATCCTTCCGTTCTTCCATTCAGGAGCAGATTCAGTGATCACTTGCCATCTCCCTGACACTCTCCGCTGATTCCAACACAGTTTATTCATAAATCCTGACAATTCCTCACATTCCAGGTTCTATTTTCTGGTTATCAGGGCCGCTTCTTCCAGGCTCTGGTGACCAGTAGAAATCGTCTGAAATTTTGCTGACCCGACCATTTTAATTGCACCCGACCAGACTAATAGCTGGCCCGAAACAGAATGGAGACCATTACTGCGGCTCCTCATACTCGATTTCTTTCCTCGAAGGTCGTAATACGTCGCAATGTCCTCGGAATGACACGTCATAATCCGCGAATTCCGTTGAGCGAACAGTCCTCCGCATTCCGCCTTACACGTCAGCTCGTCTCTGTACCGTTTCCGGTTTGTCCAAATCGCAAGCAGGCATTCATGAGGTTCATTCAGGCGAGAGGCTCATTCGCTAGCAGGCTAAATTCGCATGATCCTGACCGTTCAATTGACATCACACATGTGCTAGATGAGCAGGAAGCGAAGACTCCAGCAGACGAAGATGAGCGACTCAAATTGCTGTGCGACATAGTCGTGCGAGCTCAGAAAGGGAAGAGGAGGCGAGAATATGGACAGGAGAAAGGAAGGAGCACAGAAGAGGACAGGAGAATAACTGAAGACGAATCCGGTGACAGAGCTCCTGCCACCACTGCTGTTGTAACGTATTACCCTAACTACCGAGCTAACAACCATCGATCTCTCTCTAAGTCAATTGTTGAGAACTTCTCTCGACAAAGGAAGAGTTGGAGAAGATGGTTGAGTTGGTTGGGATGAAACTTGGTTTGGGTTTGCCAAGCCTCAACTTTGGAGGTTTGGAACATTTCCAACTCAACAAAGAGAATGTTGAAGGTTGGAATTCCAACCAATCAGAAACTGCCAAACAAGTGTTACGATCTACTCTATCCTAAACACAACCATTGAATGGTTCTAAGTTGGGTTTTCCAACCCAACACAATTGCCACATAGGCTCCAAGCCTAGGAACCATCCCACCATGGAAACCATGGTTGGGATAGTTCCCCAAGGGGTGTATTGTTTTGAAATTGAAGTTATAGACGAGGGAGGGTAAATGGTAAGGAGAAAGAAAGAAAACACCTAGAAAGAAAAGGTAAGATCAAAGTAAAACCAAGTTGAAAAGCAAAAACAAGTTGAAAGGAAATCTTGAAGTATGGAGTAATTAAGAATGAAGAAAATTTTGAAGGAGAAGATAGATAGACTTGATAGGGATAAAAGGGACCAAACAAGATTGGCTTAAAAGAAAGTATTGAAGAAAAGGTAAAGGGCTTGAAAGATACTTGAAAGGAACTTGTAACGAACTTGAGAATAAGAACTTGATTACTATGGAAAGAGCTTGAATATAAAACAACTTGATAATAGCAAATGAACTTTGATGTAAAAGAAACTTGGTGAAAAATGAGAGGAAGGGATAACCACTTACTTGAAAAGAGTTCTTACTATTATGTTGTAGAAGTTGATCTTCACTTCAAGCTTAAATGTTGTCTTAGTTGTTAATGAAGAACCTCAAAGCTTGAATGTTGAGAAGTTGATCTTGAATGTTGACTTGTAGATAATGTTTGTTGAATGAAGAGAAACCTCCAAGCTTGGATGTTGAGGTTGGAGCTTGGACCTTGGGTAGAAGAATACACCAATCTTGCTTGAAACTTTAAAGTACATTAATCAAAGGGAGGTACATGGTAGGATCTTGAGATCAACTATCCTTGATGATCTAGAAGTAAAACTATGTGGCACAAACTTCTCTAGAATTGGAGCATATGGCTATGAGCTTGGGTTGGGAGAGGTTGGTGGTGATGATGAAGCCTTAGGAGTTGGAGCATAAGGAGGAGGACTTGAGGTTGGCCTTGAGGGAGTTTGAAGAACTTGTTGAGAGTTTGGGTATGAAGTAGCATTGAAGAATATTTTTTTGAAGAAATGAAGAGGACCCTTTTGTATTTGGTGGAGCTTGATGTTGGATGAAGGATGAGGAAAGGATGAATGGTTGTGATTGGTTGAGTTGGATAAGATGGGGGTGATGAATGTGGCCTTGAAGTGAAGGCTTGGTGAAGAGAATGAATGTGGCCTTGAAGTTAAGGCTTGGTGAATGGGATGTATTTGGCTTTGATTTTAAGGCTTGGTGAGTGGAATGAATGTGGCTTGGATTGGAAGGCTTGGTATGGAATCTTTTGTTTGATTGGTGGATAATGGGATGAGAAAGATGATGAGGATAGGAGGAGAGTTGAGGTGGAGGATTGATAGGTTTTGATTGGTAGGTTTTTGCTGTCTGGAGATAGGAAAGGTGTGGTGGCGAGTGGGCATTTTTGCAAGATGCCTTTTGCATATTCGGATTTTGGCTGACGGGGAAATTGCGGCGAAAAATTTCGCCACGTGAAATATTTCCCGCCACCCTGGTGCCACGCGAGCAGCAGCCACAGTTCACTGCAACACCCCCCCGCACTGCTGACCCTCAGAGCGAGACGAAGAAGGAGCGGAAGGGACAGCAGTGGAGAAGGACTCAAGAGACTCGAGCGGCACCTGCTGCTGCTGCTGCTGTTGCTCTTGGTGATGAGGGGTGGGAGCAGAAGATGATGGCGGTTGTTGTTGGTCTTGAGCATGAGACATGTCTTCGTGTTGCTGCTGCAGTGACGATGCAGAAACTCCACTTAGAATGATTGTTGGAGGTTCGAAATCTGCAAAGGTAGAGAAGGGAGGAACTTGAGAGGAAACAAGAGGAAAAGAAAGTTTCCAAGAAGAAGGGGACATGTCTTCATAGAAGATCACGTCCCTTGACACAATGTCTCTTTTTAGGAGAGGATCCCACATTAACCAGCCCTTACTTTCCTTGGCCATGCCCAGATGCATGCCCCATGCTGCCTTACTTTCAAACTTGCTGCGTTTGTCATCTAGCACTTTGTACTGGCCCATGCAGCCAAATACTCGCAGCATGGACACATTTGGCTTTATGCCATATAATGCCTCATAGGGTGTAATACCCTCAGCAATGGAGCTTGTCAGTCGACGATTCTTGACCCAAGCAGCATGTGTAACAGCTTCTCCCCACCATGAGTCATCCAGATTCATGTGGGAAAGAAAACCTCTTGAGATCTCTTGAATCGTACGGTTGTACCTCTCAGCAGTACCATTTTGTTGAGGTGTTGCTGTGCATGACAATTGCTGTTCAACTCCAAGGTTGGCAAGAAAAGAGCGGAAAGAGTTAGACATGTACTCTCCTCCACGATCAGAACGAAAAATTTTGACCTTGAGACCCAACTGACGCTCAATATAAGGAAACCAGGACTGGATAACACCGGGAACTTCATCTTTAGATCCAAGAAGAGAGATCCAAGCAAATTTTGTATGATGGTCAATGAGTGACATTACATATCTTTTCCCAGTACGACTTGGTGTACGGGAAGGACCCATCAGGTCACTATGAATGAGCTCAAGCGGTTGAGAGACTTCAGACTCAGAAGAATAGAAAGGATGACGAGGAAGCTTAGCCTCAACACAAGTATGGCACGATGACTGAGATGATGACAACTGCTTGGAGATGATAAGACCATCAACACTTGCATGTGCTTGCATGCGTGTGATGCTAGACTCTTCAGGGTGACCGTAACGACAATGCCAGGTGTAAGGAGATGCAGATGTACCAGGATGAAGTCTTACTGAGGTGGTGGTAGCAGCAACTGAGGGACTGCTGTAGGGCTTGGCAGGTGGCTGTGCATCAATCTCCACTCGATAGAGACGTCCATTACGAACACCTCTTGCAATGTGATGTCCAGTTGGAGCACGAACCTGCACAGAACCATCTGAGAAAGAGATGGAAATACCTTTCTCTTCCATTTGACCAATTGAGAGAAGGTTCGCCCCTAGTGAGGGGACAAGTAAAATGCCTGAGAATGACATATGAATTCCCTCTGGACTGAGAAATGTCATTGTTCCCTCTGCTTGAACTGGCACCGAATGGTTGCTGGCAACAACCACTTCTTTCACATTGGAGGGCTTGAGGCTGTGAAGGAGGGAGGCATGAGGGGTCATATGTTGATCACATCCACTGTCCAAAAACCAAATCTTGGGATCCTGTGTAAATGCATGGAGACAAGAGGATGATGCAAATGCGAAACTCGGTGCATTCGATTGAGTAGAGTCTCTCTCATATGAAACGACTCCTATGGTGGCTTGAAGAGGCGCCTCTGGTGTGTGAGGTTGTGGCATAGAGGAAGCAGAGACATGGTTTTGAGATGAGACTTGGGAAGCATTCTGAAAGAATGCCCCATGATGCGCACTGTCTGGTTGATTTTCTGGAGGGGTATGGGATGTAATAGCAATGGCGGCCCTTCCTTTGTCAGAAAGCAGAGATGAAGGTGGTGTCCAGTTCGCAGGACGTATGTTGCACTTGAACCAAGGATGTCCCCATTTATGACAATAATGACACTCAAATTGATACCTTGACTTTGGCTTATAAGGAATATGATTAGAGTATGATGCAAGCTGAGAAATATGACTTGGTGTGGGTTGTCCAAGAAGAGAGTGTGTTGGGGTTTGAGAGGACTTACCTTGCTGAAACTTGCTCTGTTGTTGAACACTTTGTTGAGGGCGATAGTTGGAACTTGTCATTCCACTCCATGCTGGTCCAGGATTTCTCTGAAGCTTTGCAAGTTCTCTTGTCTGATGTTCGGTGATGAGCGTGTTGAAGATGAAATCTCGGGTCCTTGTCTCCTCAGGAAAGGCTTGAATGGTGCTTCTCATAGTGCTCCATCCAGATGAAAGTCCGGCTAGAAGAATGGTGATGAAGAGAGATTCCGGGACCTCAATGTCGAGAAGTGTAGCTTCGTAAAGGACCATTTCACCACATTGTAAGTAGTCAGGGATGGACTCACTCTCCCCCATGCGGAGAGAGACAATCTTGTTCCACACTTCTGCCTTAGAACCTTGGGAAATAGGTTGATGAAGACGTTTGAGCCGCTCCCAAGCAGCTCTGGCACTGTCCTTTTGAGTTGATACGAGGAGGAGGGGTTGAGAGTAGGGGTCTTGAATGGAAGAGAGGAGATAGAGATAAGCTTCAGCATTTTTCTTGATCCAGTTGCTCTGTTCTTGATCAGGTGCAGCAGTTGAAGGGGGAGTGTTTTGGCCGATGTAGATAGGCCAAAGATCAAGAAGAGTGGCGGCTTGTTGAAAGCGGATGCTCCATGATGAAAAACCTTTGCCGTTGAAGCGTGGAAGCTCCAATTTGGGGACTAAGGAGGAGGTAAATGTAGATGTAGTAGGTGGTGTAGATGGAGATGATGTGTTGGTTGTAGGAGGTGCTGATTCGTTTGAAGAGTTTGTGGTTACAGCTGGTGAAGTTGATCCCATAGGAACACTTGAGTCCTTTTCATCCATGTTGGTAAATTAAAACTCCTGATACAATCAAACAATTTCACACAAGGGGAAGGGGAAATAGACAAACACACACACACAGACACACATATACACAAACACACAAAAACAAAAAAGGGGAAACACAAAAAGGAGGACCCAAAAGGGGGCGCAAGACCAAGTGCAAGGATGCCACTAATGGCAAATAACGGGCTTAAAAAAAAAACTATACAAGATGCGCACGGAAGAAACAGCAAAAAGGAATGAACTCGGGCTCAGATCCCATTTTGAAATTGAAGTTATAGACGAGGGAGGGTAAATGGTAAGGAGAAAGAAAGAAAACACCTAGAAAGAAAAGGTAAGATCAAAGTAAAACCAAGTTGAAAAGCAAAAACAAGTTGAAAGGAAATCTTGAAGTATGGAGTAATTAAGAATGAAGAAAATTTTGAAGGAGAAGATAGATAGACTTGATAGGGATAAAAGGGACCAAACAAGATTGGCTTAAAAGAAAGTATTGAAGAAAAGGTAAAGGGCTTGAAAGATACTTGAAAGGAACTTGTAACGAACTTGAGAATAAGAACTTGATTACTATGGAAAGAGCTTGAATATAAAACAACTTGATAATAGCAAATGAACTTTGATGTAAAAGAAACTTGGTGAAAAATGAGAGGAAGGGATAACCACTTACTTGAAAAGAGTTCTTACTATTATGTTGTAGAAGTTGATCTTCACTTCAAGCTTAAATGTTGTCTTAGTTGTTAATGAAGAACCTCAAAGCTTGAATGTTGAGAAGTTGATCTTGAATGTTGACTTGTAGATAATGTTTGTTGAATGAAGAGAAACCTCCAAGCTTGGATGTTGAGGTTGGAGCTTGGACCTTGGGTAGAAGAATACACCAATCTTGCTTGAAGCTTTAAAGTACATTAATCAAAGGGAGGTACATGGTAGGATCTTGAGATCAACTATCCTTGATGATCTAGAAGTAAAACTATGTGGCACAAACTTCTCTAGAATTGGAGCATATGGCTATGAGCTTGGGTTGGGAGAGGTTGGTGGTGATGATGAAGCCTTAGGAGTTGGAGCATAAGGAGGAGGACTTGAGGTTGGCCTTGAGGGAGTTTGAAGAACTTGTTGAGAGTTTGGGTATGAAGTAGCATTGAAGAATATTTATTTGAAGAAATGAAGAGGACCCTTTTGTATTTGGTGGAGCTTGATGTTGGATGAAGGATGAGGAAAGGATGAATGGTTGTGATTGGTTGAGTTGGATAAGATGGGGGTGATGAATGTGGCCTTGAAGTGAAGGCTTGGTGAAGAGAATGAATGTGGCCTTGAAGTTAAGGCTTGGTGAATGGGATGTATTTGGCTTTGATTTTAAGGCTTGGTGAGTGGAATGAATGTGGCTTGGATTGGAAGGCTTGGTATGGAATCTTTTGTTTGATTGGTGGATAATGGGATGAGAAAGATGATGAGGATAGGAGGAGAGTTGAGGTGGAGGATTGATAGGTTTTGATTGGTAGGTTTTTGCTGTCTGGAGATAGGAAGGGTGTGGTGGCGAGTGGGCATTTTTGCAAGATGCCTTTTGCATATTCGGATTTTGGCTGACGGGGAAATTGCGGCGAAAAATTTCGCCACGTGAAATATTTCCCGCCACCCTGGTGCCACGCGAGCAGCAGCCACAGTTCACTGCAACACCCCCCCGCACTGCTGACCCTCAGAGCGAGACGAAGAAGGAGCGGAAGGGACAGCAGTGGAGAAGGACTCAAGAGACTCGAGCGGCACCTGCTGCTGCTGCTGCTGTTGCTCTTGGTGATGAGGGGTGGGAGCAGAAGATGATGGCGGTTGTTGTTGGTCTTGAGCATGAGACATGTCTTCGTGTTGCTGCTGCAGTGATGATGCAGAAACTCCACTTAGAATGATTGTTGGAGGTTCGAAATCTGCAAAGGTAGAGAAGGGAGGAACTTGAGAGGAAACAAGAGGAAAAGAAAGTTTCCAAGAAGAAGGGGACATGTCTTCATAGAAGATCACGTCCCTTGACACAATGTCTCTTTTTAGGAGAGGATCCCACATTAACCAGCCCTTACTTTCCTTGGCCATGCCCAGATGCATGCCCCATGCTGCCTTACTTTCAAACTTGCTGCGTTTGTCATCTAGCACTTTGTACTGGCCCATGCAGCCAAATACTCGCAGCATGGACACATTTGGCTTTATGCCATATAATGCCTCATAGGGTGTAATACCCTCAGCAATGGAGCTTGTCAGTCGACGATTCTTGACCCAAGCAGCATGTGTAACAGCTTCTCCCCACCATGAGTCATCCAGATTCATGTGGGAAAGAAAACCTCTTGAAACGCTCGTTTCAGCAGCCGGAAAAATTCGCGACCAGCGCGAGGACCCCCATATAGTCACATTCTCGCCCAAGGTCTTCATTCCAGTCACATTTCTCTGCAGGGACACTTGCGCCTACTGCACCTTTGCCAAGCCTCCGGATCAGGTTCGGCGCGCATACATGACCAAAGCTGAGGTGCTGGAAGTGGCTCGGGCCGGAGCTGCGGTGGGCTGTGTGGAGGCACTGTTCACTCTAGGTGATAAACCTGAGCTCAGATACGAGGAGGCGAGGAAAGAGGTCAGTTGAATTTTACAGCTTCTGATTCGCCTCAAACAGCGGTTGGGTGTGTGAAGGCTCTGTTTACTCTGGGTATGAGGAGGCGAGGAAAGAGATTAGTAAGTTCTTCTTGTCCCTGAACCTTTTTCCCGCTTTCCACCTGCCCAACAAAGTGTTATAGTCCGAAATGCTGTTCTGTCTCCTCAACCCCGCCAATTCCTTCCAATCCTGTTGCGATTTCAGCTGCAGGAGCTAGGGTTTGCCTCCACCATACACTACGTCGCCCACCTAGCCGCCAGAGTGCAACAACAGTGCCTGATGCTGTTCCTCCCTCCCGTTTGCCTCCTCCATTTCCAGCTGCAGGAGCTAGAATTCGCCTCCACTATACACTACGTCGCCCACCTAGCCGCCAGAGTGCAACAGTGCATTAATGCTGTAGTGATAAATCCCTCGCTGCCCCCACCTACTCCTCTCGTTTTCTTTGTCATTGCAGCTGCAGGAGCTGGGATTCGCCTCTACCATACACTTCATCGCCCACCTAGCCGCCAGAGTGCTACAGTCCACGGGACTCCTGCCACACATCAACGCGGGCACCATGGGGGCGGCAGACCTTGTCCTTTTGCGCCACGTGGCGGCCAGCCAGGGGCTGATGCTGGAGAGCACGGCAGAGGGGCTGATGCAGCCCGGTGGGGCGCACTGGGGGTGTCCGGATAAGGAGCCGAGCGTGAGACTGGCAACGATTGAGGCTGCTGGTGAGTTGGTGGAAGTGGGTGAGGTGCAGGCAGGAGAGTGTAGGAGTTCGTTCTGAGGGGCTGATGAAACCCGGTGGGGCGCACTGGGGGTGTCCAGTCCACATAAGGAGTACGGCTTAGACTTTTGAGGCGCCTCAAAACTGCAGGCAAAGAGTGTAGGAGGAGATCTGAGGGGCTGATGAAACCCGTTGGGGTGCACTGGGGGTGTCCAGTCCAGGTAAGGAGTGCGGCTTAGAGTGCATCAGACCAGACCCTCTCACTGCCCTCTCTCTTCCATCTCCCTCCACTCTCATTCCCCTCATTCCCCTCATTCCCCTCATTCCCCTTATACCCTCTCACGGCAGGTGCTGCCCGTATACCCTTTACAAACGGTCTCCTTGTGGGCATAGGCGAGTCAAGAGCCGACAGAATTAGGGACCTGCTAACCCTACGAGACCTACACTCCCGCTACGGGCACATACAGGAGATGATCATTCAGCCGTTCAGGGCCAAGGAGCAGACGAGGATGGAGGGTGATCATGCAGCCATCTCCTCCCCTCACACCTTCTCACTCTCTTCTCACCCTGTTCTCACTCATCGCACTCTGCTGCAGGTGCTGCCCGCATACCCTCTACAAGCGGTCTCCTTGTGGCCATAGGCGGGACAGGAGCCGACAGACTAAGGGACCGGCTAACCCTGCGGGTCCTTCACTCCCGCTACGGGCACATACAGGAGATGATCATTCAGCCGTTCAGAGCCAAGGAGCAGACGAGGATGGAGGGTGATCATGCAGCCATCTCCTCCCCTCACATACAGGAGATGATCATGCAGCCAGTTTCTTCCTTGACCTTCTCACTCACCTCAGACTCTCTTCTCACTCCTTCCTTACCCCAGGTGCTGCCCGTATACCCTTTACAAGCGGTCTCCTTGTGGGCATAGGCGAATCGAGGGCTGACAGACTAAGGGACTTATTCAGTTTGCGGGACCTACACTGTCGCTATGGGCACATACAAGAAATCATTATCCAGCCATTCAGAGCCAAGGGGCAGACGAGGATGGGCGGGTGGGGGCATGCAGAGGCAGAGGAGCTGCTGTGGAGCGTGGCGGTGGCGAGAATCGTGTTCGGGGCTCATATGAGCATCCAGTCTCCACCCAACCTGAGGTGAGGTGACAGCACGCACGCACACACACACACACACACACACACACACACACGCACGCACGCACGCACGCACGCACGCACACGCACACGCACACACACACACACACACACACACACACACACACACACACACACACACACGCGGATGAGGATGGGCGGGTGGGGGCATGCAGAGGCGGAGGAGGTGCTGTGGAGCGTGGCGGTGGCGAGAATCGTGTTCGGGGCTCATATGAGCATCCAGTCTCCACCCAACCTCAGGTGAATGACGAAGAGATAATGAGCAGGAGCATGTACACACACAGTCAGGGCCAGACAGGGACACACACATGCACACATGTAGGAGGTGATAATGCAGCGGTTTCAAGGAGGGCTTGGGGGGGCGGACGAGGATGGCGGGGTGGGCTATTTAGAGGCCAGTCACTCTCTGTATTTTGCTATAATTATTTTCTTCCTCCTCGTTTCCTCCCCGTTTCGTTGTGTGTGGCAGTGCGGGGGACGTGGCTCAGCGAGCTCTTATAGCAGCGGGGATCAATGACTGGGGGGGGATCTCGCCAGTCACACTGCCCTCTGTTAGAATTGTTAAAGCCCTTTCGTGCTCTTGCTTCCTTGTTTCATGGTGCGTGTGTGGCAGTGTGGGGGACGTGGCTCAGAGTGCTCTCATAGCAGCGGGGATCAACGACTGGGGAGGGATCTCGCCAGTCACCGTTGACTGGGTCAACCCCGAGGTGAGAGCAGTGTATGGCGAAGCACTCGCTGCGAATCTCACCAGTCACCGTTGACTGGGTCAACCCTGAGGTGAGGTGCTGGAGTTTAGGGTTGAGGAATTCTGCCTCTGAGGAATTCTGCCTGAGTTACGGGGTTCTGGGGTGGTGTACCGTTGACCAGGTCAAACCCCCTTCCAATTTCCCTCTTCCTCCATCCATGATCTCCCACCCTTCCTCTACCTCTCCCACCTTCCCACCATCCATCCTCCCCCCAATTATCCCGGTTCCGCTTCCCCAGGCGACTTTTGAGTCGACTCAAAAGTCGCTTCCTCTACCTCTCCCACCATCCATCCATCCTCCCCCCAATTATCCCGGTTCCGCTTCCCCAGGCCCCGTGGCCCCACATTCACGAGCTAGCTTCAGTCACTGCAGCTTCTGGGAAGGTTCTCGTGCCTCGCCTGCCAGTCTACCCCAGTTTTCTGTCATTGCACAACCAGGACACGTGGCTGGTGAGTATGGTGACACGTGGCTGGTGAGTATGGTGACACGTGGCTGTTGAGTGTGGCTGGCAGAATGGTGACACCTGGGTGGTGAGCATGGTGACACGTGGGTGGTGAGAATGTTGACACGTGGCTGGTGAGAATGTTGACACGTGGCTGGTGAGAATGTTGACACGTGGCTGGTGAGAATGTTGACACGTGGCTGGTGAGAATGGTGTCACCTGGCTGGAACCCTGCTGCCCCTGCCTCAGTGCTGCCCCTGCCTCAGTGCTGCCCCTGCCATCGTTGCACACAACGCATCGTTTCATCCCTGGGCGTGAAAGGGTCCACATCCACTCCTCTGCGGCCGCAAGTCGACTTTTGAGTCGACTTTTGAGTCGACTTTTGGGTCGACTTTTTAGTCGACTTCTGAGTTGACTTTTGAGTTGACTTTTGAGTCGACTCATAAAACACAATCCTGGGTATGAAAGGATCTACATCCACTCCTCTGCAGCCACAAGTCCTCTGATCTGAAACCACGAATCCATGTTTTTTTTACGTTCTCTCTTCTCTTCTCCCTACCCATCCTCCCTGCCCTCCCTCCCTCCCCTGCCACCAGGACCCCTTGGTCCTTCAGCACGTGCTCCAGCATTCGGACAGTTCGGGCTATGCTAGGTGCGAGCAGTGGGCACCTGGGACCCTGCTGCCCCTGCCTCCCGGTGCAGAGGGCTTGCTGGTTGGACCAGCAGCAGCAGCAGCAGCAGCAGAAGGATCAGCAGCAGTAGGGGACCCTGAAGCAGCAGCAGTCGAATCAAGGGAGATCAGCGGGAGAGGATGTATAGCTGTAGGTGCAGATGGGTTGCTGACGGGGACAGATAGACGTGCCCACGTGGCAGGTGATGACGTGGAAAGTACACCAAGTGACAAGGCTATGCGAATGCATGACGTGGCACGAGCAAGCGATGACGTGGCGCGCATCCTCGAACGAGCTCTGCAGGGACGCACGTTGTCTGAGGTGAGGGTCTGATGTGCATCAATCATTTTGAGGTGATCTTCATCTCATTTCTCCTTCGCCTCAGTCAGGCGAGTCATTTGGAAAAAATCGCATCGATCACTTCATTTCTCATTCGCCTCAGGCGAGCCATTTTGAAAATCTCATCGATCACTTCACTTCTCTGAGGTGAGGGTCTGATCTGATGTGCATCGATCATTTCGTTTCTCCTTCGCCTCAGTCAGGTGAGTCGTTAGGAAAAAAATATCAATAGTGACTCCAATATAGTTGGAGGGACGCACGTTGTCTCAGGTGAGGGTCTGATCTAATCTGATGTGCACCGTTCCTTTTTTTTTTTTTTTTTTTTTTTTTTTTGTTCCTGTGCCTCACGACAGCACACGAGGTGACTGTTGAGTCGACTCAAAAGTCACCTCACGACAGCACACGCCCATCATGCGTTGATGGTACTTTTGAGAATTCTCAAAAGTACCATCAATGATCGCCGTTCCTGTGCCTCATGACAACACACGCCCATCATGCGGACTTTGATTTTTTAGGCGCCTCAGAATTAGGCTTGAGTCTGCACACCCCAGCATGCCGTGCGTATGCCCTCACACCCCAACACCCAACAAGCGGAGATAGTTCGGCTCTTCTCCGCACGCGGCACTGACTTCCATGCGGTGTGCCGCGCTGCAGATGGGTTGAGAGCGGTGGTGAGCGGTGACGAGGTGTCGTACGTGGTGAATCGCAACATCAACTACACCAACGTGTGCACCTACGCCTGCCAGTTCTGCGCCTTCAGGTACGTATGGCAAGCTGCCACGTCAGACATGTATGGCAAGCTGCCACGTCAGACATGCATGCACTCAGCCATGTGTCGGGAGGAAAAGCGGTGTGAAAAACAAGTTGCACATGATATGTTCTTGGTGATCACCAGAAGTTTTTCAGTTTTGAGACATATGCATTGCGGGGAAGGCCCATCTTGCATTAAATTGGATCACATGGACTTTCCCTGCATTGCCTGCCGTTTGACGCCTAGCCTCTGTTCCTTCTCCCTCCCCTCTCATTTTCTATGCAGCAAGGGGAAGTCAGCCGAGAGCCTTAGGGGGCAGCCTTACCTGTGAGAGTTCCTCTTCTGCTATGCTCCACTGCCGTCCTCTGTGTCATGCTATCGTGCCATCATGCCATGCCACAATGCAACATGCAATCTGTTCCACGTTACTCTTGAGTCGACTCAAGAGTCACCTCTCCTGCCATCCATTATTTCATGCCGTCATGCCAGCAGTCCGTTCCACATGTGTTTCGCTCATCTCTTATTTTACATGCACATGGCATGGCAGCATGTCTCTAGAGGAGATCAGCAGTCGAGCAAAGGAGGCATGGGAGAGGGGAGCAACCGAGGTCTGCATGCAGGTACGAGTGGTGGGAGCACACTGCGTGTCTGTATGCTTTTGAGGCGCCTCAAGAGAGGGGTGCAACCGAGGTCTGCATGCAGGTATGATTATTGGGAGAACACTGGGTGTATGCATGTAAGCTTCCACACCTGCACTTGATACAATCAGCATGCTCTCTCTCTCATGTCGGCTCTTCATTTCTCCCGTCATTGCCTACTTGCTTCTGTCACACCCCAGGGAGGCATACACCCGGACGTCACGGGAGAGACCTACCTCTCCATCCTCTCTGATCTCAACGCTTTCGACGCTGCCCACCATCCCCGTCCCCACACCCCAGGGAGGCATACACCCGGACGTCACGGGAGAGACCTACCTCTCCATCCTCCTTAACGGATCTGCCTCTCTTTCTTCGAGTCTCCCTGCCTCTCTACTCCTATGCGCCCCAAACCCGACCCTCCAGGGAGGCATACACCCAGATTTCACAGGAGAAACCTACCTCTCCATCCTCTCAGCCGTCAAGCCTCGAAGGGCCTGCCTCTCCTCCGTCGTGCCCCCCTGTCTCACTACCCCTGTGTGCCCCAATTTCTACCCCCCAGGGAGGCATACACCCGGACTTCACAGGGGAGACCTACGTCTCCATCCTCTCAGCTGTCAAGGCAGCATGTCCCGACATGCACGTGCATGCCTTCTCGCCTCTGGAGGTGTGGCACGGCGCCACCTCTCTCAACTGCAGGTATGCGTATGTGACGCGTCTTCCTGACTTCACGGGAGGGACCTACCTCTCCGTTCTATCGGTTGTCAAGGCAGCATGTCCCGACATGCACGTGCAGGCCTTCTCGCCTCTGGAGGTGTGGCATGGTGCCACCTCTCTCAACTGCAGGTATGCTAGATTCCTGAGGCGCCACCTATCTTTCCATCCTCTCAGATCAGCTGTCAAGGCAGCATGTCCAGCTGAGGGACGTGGCACCATGTCAGATCCTCTCACACGTGCAAGCGTTCTCGCCGCTGGAGGTGTGGCATGGTGCCACGTCCCTCAACTGCAGGTATGCTAGATTCCTGAGGCGCCAATAGTATGATCCCTTAACTGCACTAATGTGTGCAAAACCGCACAATGTGTACAATATTTTGTACGAAAATGTCGGGCCGTTATCGCGCCCTTGTTCGTCCCCCTCTCATCATTTTTTCCCCACACGTGTGCCGCTCTTCCTCCTTCTTTGAGTCAATTTACAAAACTTGCTCCCTTCGTCTGTTCGTCCTTCTCTCGTCTTTCCCCAAATGCACACGCTTCAGTGTTCCACACTTCCTCAAGCTCCTGAAGAGTGCGGGACTGGGGTCCCTGCCTGGAACAGCTGCAGAGGTGAGAAGCATATTCGATTCGTGCCTCTTTGCACCGCAGTGCACCGGAGCGTGTCACACTTTCTCCAGCTCCCGAGGAGTGCGGGTCTGGGATCCCTGCCCAGAACAGCTCAGCAGGGGTGAGAAAAGTTCTTGTTGGCACGTCTGATATGCCTGGCATCACCCTTCTTCTTGCTTTTGGCCTGCCCATCACCCCTCTCCTCTCACCCCCTCCAACCCATCTGCACCCCTTTGAACCCACCCCTCTCCACCCAAATTCTCCAACCCCTCTCCACCGCTGTAGATCTTGGACGACTCAGTGCGAGCCGTGCTGTGCCCAGACAAGATCTCAACCGTCCAATGGAGGGAGGTGATCGAGGCCGCTCATTCTGTCGGCCTCCCCACCACCTCCACCATCATGTTCGGCCACGTGGACCATCCGATTCACTGGTAACCATTTGGGACCTGGTAACCACCTCCCACATGGTAACCACCTTCCACATGGTAACCACCTCTCTACTGGTAACCGTACTTAGACTCTGGTCTGGGCTGCTCGTGCTGTCGGCCTCCCCATAACCTCCACCATCATGTTCGGCCACGTGAACCATCCCATCCACTGGTAACCACCTGGTAACCACATGGTAACCTGGTAACCACATGCGAACCACCTGGTATCTGGTTACAGCCTGGTCTCACTTGGTAACCCTGCTTACACTCTGGGTGCCGCTCATGCTGTCAGCCTCCCCACCACCTCCACCATCATGTTCGGCCACGTGAACCATCCCATCCACTGGTAACCATGTCGTAACCATCTGATAACCACCTGATAATCGCCTCAGCTGGTAATCACTTTGGGTGCGGCTTAAACTGCCAGCCCCCCCACCACCTCCACCACCATGTTCGGCCACGTGGACCATCCCATGCACTGGTAACCACCTGGGAACTACTTGGTAACCACCTCATGAAACTCAGTGCTCACTACTTAAGGCCTATTTTGAGACTTCTCAAATCTGAATACGGCCTATATACCTTTTCTCCTCTCCCTCCGCCTGTCGCCCCCTCTTTTTCTCCCTCGCCTACCCCCACATCTCAACCCCCCAACTCAATCCCCACCACATGCCCCCCACACCCTTCCCATGCTCAGGGCTCGTCACCTGCTGCTGCTGCGATCCATTCAAGAACGGACAGGTGGCATCACGGAATTCGTCCCCCTCCCGTTCGTGCACATGCAGGTAGGGACGTGCATGCATCCATTTGGCATGTGCATGCATGCATGCTTTCGGGGTATGCATGCATTTGATGAGCGTGCATGCATGTTGGGGATCTGGGTCATGGATGGGTACAGGATGTAGCTTTTGAGGCATGCATATAGCTGGGCGCATACGTGCAGTTGAAATTCAGACGTGGATGCATGCACACCCGCATCTCAAGCTTTATTTCTCCCCAACTCTTCACCCGCAGGCGCCTGTGTTTCTCAAGGGCAGGCTTTTGAGGCGCCTCAAAAACTGAGAGCAACCTACCACCCCTACCCCCCTTCAGGCGCCAGTGTACCTCAAGGGCAGGAGCAGGCGAGGCCCCACGTTCAGAGAGTGTGTACTGATGCACGCTGTGGGGAGGGGTCTTCCCCCTTCCCTTCCCGCCCAACCACCCTACCCCCCACACCGCCCTCCCCCCTCCAGGCGCCAGTGTATCTCAAGGGCAGCAGCAGAAGAGGTCCCACATTCAGAGAGTGTGTGCTGATGCATGCAGTGGGGCGGCTGGTGCTGCATCCACTCATTACGAACATCCAGGTGTGGGATATACTTGCACACGCACATGCACACATGCACACATACACATGCACGTGTACATACACATTGATTCAAAGTATGGATGGATTGATGTGTGGTGTGCATGTGCCTCCGTTCCACCCTTGTCCATCACCCAACAGGCCTCATGGGTGAAGATGGGATTGGAGGGCGTTTCTTGTCTGCTAGCGGCTGGCTGCAATGATGTGGGTGGCACACTGATGAATGAGAGCATCACACGGGCGGCTGGAGCAGTACATGGTGCGTGAAGCTGTCGTTTGTTGCGGCGTGTAACTATTTCCCTCTTGCACTCCCTATCTGTCGCTTACCCCCCCCCCCCCTCCTCCCCTCTCCACCACCACCCCGCTCTTTTGTTGCCCAACCTGTCCTCTGCACCATATACCAACCTACAAGCACTTTTTTTTTTCCCCTTATTATTGCAATATGCAGGTCAGGAAGTAACAGCTCAGCGCATGGAAGCTGTCATATATGCAGCTTGCCGTCAACCCCGTCAGCGAACCACGTTATACGAGTATCATAGAGCACATTGAATCAGTGTGATTACCGTGTCTGAGATTACAATACTATTTCTGTACATATGTTATCCCGTCTTCTAATTTCCCTCACTGCACAAATTGTCAATCTAAGCTCACGACAGGAAAAAATGGCATGTAAACTTGTCAATATACATTATAATGCTTCTCAATATATACAGCACAAGAGGACCACGATTTATGTTACGGTATGAATGAACTTGCAGAGTGCGCAGAATAATGAATAACGAGAATAAGAATTACAGAATGCCGATACAAGTAGCGAGGCCTAAATAGGAGAAAACATAGCTAAGCTGAGAGGTCGAGAAAGGATGGCTCGCGAAAGTTTGCAATTGGTGCGGAGGCTGAACCAGTTGGTCGAGTGCCTCTGTAACGATTTGAAATCCTTACAATTTACGTAGACTCTGGTGGTTGTATCGGATTACCTCGTGCTTCTTTGGGGTATGCCTTGAGGGGTTGTTGAAGTTCCGCCTCTGCGCTGCTTTCCCCGAAATAATTCCCGCTGTCGTCCCCATAGTCTGCATTTCCGATTATATCAGTTGGGTCAGCTCCCGCCAGTACATTAACTACATAGTCGTCTCGAAATTGCCGGTCACAATGCGGGCGCGAAGAGACTCCTGGCGTTTTGGTCCGCACATAGCCGACGTGTTGAAATAGCGACGGCACGTGCACGTATCCCGTCCGGTTGGCGCTAGTTAGGTATTTGTTTAGGAGCCAATCCATAGGAGCCTCGACGAATCGCTTCTCCACAAACCCTAGCAGGTCTTCGAGCGCCGATACTCTGAAGAGCAGGGCCTGAGCGCAGCAAGGAATTAGATATTCCCCGCCATGCTTATATTCCCAAAAGTACGATTCGGGATAGTAAAGGGATAGGACCGTCCACTCCTTATCCTTCATATCTTCGTTAATGAATTTCTCGATACCGATGTCGTAGAGGCGGGCTGGCCTCGTGTCGTCTTGCAGCAGCAGGATGTATTTCGGTTTCGTCGCCATGCACTGTCGCATTACGTAGACGAAATCCATTACCAGCTTCGTTCGCCATCGCCAAGATTTCCAGCCGTCGCCGATCATCTCGTTTGTCACGCCCAACTTTCTCAACACCTCCTCGTCTTCCTGAACGAAGTCGCACGCATCTTGGCGAGATGGTAACACCGTTACATTCAGTGAGGATCCTCGTCCAGCCATTCTTATAACTTTCTCATGCAGAACTTCCATCGTATTCTTTCGTTCTTCCAAGTCGCCCAGATGAGTTGCTAGTACCGGCTCAGTAGCTGATTCCACGTGGCGTAGGGTCGGTCCTTTCAGCAAACTTCTAGTCGTCGTAGTAGGCCGCGGGTCCTCCTTCAAAGCGCTGGCGTCTGACGTGGCGGCTTGTTTCTTGAGGCGCTGTAGAAATTTCCGTTTTTCGTTGCAGCCCGAGTTGTAGACCACGACGTTCATGTCTTTAAAACCGCCGGAAATGGTAGACGGCGACCGTCGCCGTTCCAGCATATCGAGAAGAGACACTGGGAAGTACCACGTTGGCAGCTTGCGGTTTTCGGGAAATACACGTGGCATCGAAGCTATAGCCACGCAGACTTCCAGTTGATTGTTGCTCTTGCTGCTACTCCCGTCGCTGTCGATATTGAAACTGTTTCGGTCGCTCTTTTGATAATCCCCCGCCGTTTGACTTCGCTTTCCGTTGCTGCCACGTGTCGCGTCCTGGAGTGCGACATTTGGCTCGAAGTAGTCTCGTCTGACGTGGCGACGCAGATGCAGAGGACTCAATTCCGTGTAACCCGTTAAAGCCGATGCGTTAATAGCTCCAGAAGCAGCGTCGTCGTTCCTTGCTGTTGAACCAGTCGACTGACGAGGCTGTGCCGAAGTAAGGAACGTCCTGAAAACGGATCTGGCGAACGTGGACGGTAACCAGGTTACAGATTCTGAAGCTGACTTTAACGAGGTCAATGATGACGGCGACTGTGGCGAGAGCAGCTGCCGCCTGTGAAACTCGAACACCTTACCAGGAAAGTCCAGGCGTTCACAATTGTGGACATGGCGATTGAGCCTGATACTGACCCAAGGCGCGAAGATTAAAACGAGGCCACACGCGAGAAGCAGGAGAGCGAGGCGGTAGTAAGGTCTGGAGAGCCTTGTGCGCGACGAAGTGGTAGTGTGCCTGCTAAAGCAGCACTTTCTGACGAACTTGCTGGTAGGTTGGATCATGGTGCCTGGACGTGGTAGCTGGAGGTTGTGCTAGAGCATCTGATACGAAATCAAATGATAAGCGGAAAGGACACATGTTTGCAACAATTTTGGTAGGATAAGGGGGTGTCTGAAGTGAACGTCGACATCCCCCGACGAGTCTTCGAGGAATGTCGATGAATCTTGACGGTCGGAGTGCTCGATCCGAGGGTGGAAATTCGCCGACATCCCCCGACAAAAGTGTAGCGTCCGTCGACGTTTCACTTCAGACTCCCCCTAAGTAGTGATAGGCAGTGCGTGATAGCCTGTTGGCGACAGCCTGTGATAATTTGTCGGCGCGATATGTCCACTTGATACAACGGGTTATTGCTGGCCGCAATAGCCTATCGACGAACCGGGTCCTGTTTTGCAGCCATGCACTTCCCCCCTCGAGACGCGAACACTTGCAGCGGTTGTCGTCGGCAGTTTCGGCCAACACGCCACTTCCAGCAACCTGAGCTCCAGCTCAAGAACTGAACGTTTGGGATGGCACGGGACGGGATATGCGGGGAAAGGGACGTGGGGGCATTGCTGCACTGCAACATGGCATTTGGTTGCCGCTGGTTGTCCTGCGGACATCTGTCTGGAGGCGGCGGGAAGGCTTTTCTGAAAGGCGGAGGGAGCGAGCAAGCGGCGATGGATTTGCTCTTCTCAAGACTCGAATGGTTTGATAGTTGGATGTTGGCACTTGGGAAAATGGGCTGGGCGGGGTAGTGGGGAGTGATTGGCTGAAGGTGGTGCTGATTGTCGAGGCGTATTCTGTAACCACTGGACGCCTTGTTTCCTGCAAACGCGCAACGAGAATCTCAGGTTTGTGCCAGGCACCGCAGGTGACTGAAATTCGCGAAGACGCAAATGCTGTCATGCGAAATGAGAGGGGGCTATTTGGGTGAGGCCGAAATTACTCGCGAAAACCCATCGACATACAGTTTTTTCGCAACGTAAATGTGTCAGGCGAGAGGGCTAGGGCTCATGCATTTTTCAATTTCCCCGAATTGGCAACCTGGCCGTTTCCCCAGCCTGTCCATTTGCCCAGCCTGTCAATTTCTTCTCATGCCAAGGCCCGCAACAGGGTTGCCAACCGCCAGACAAGATGCCCCATTGGTCAAGGCTCACAAAGCTGCCACGGCGGCAAGCGAAAGCATTTGGGCTATACATATCACTACACCTGACCCCAGAAACACTAAGGGCGTATCCCTGGGTGGTGGCAGGGCCACTGTAGATGGCAGAGTTGGTGGCATGCGGGAAAACCGCATGCCACCAACATTTTTACCGAGGCGCGCGCGACTCGTATTGCCCACACTGTCCTGCACACCACATTTCAATTTACAATCAGAAACTCTTCTGAAACCCATCAGAAACTCTTCTGATGCCCACACTGTCCTGCACACCACATTTCAATTTACAATCTTCCCATATGTTATTGTTTGTCCTTATTAATGCAATTTTCAGGCCAGGAAGTAACAGCTCAGTCATATATACAGCTGGACGTCAGCCTCGTCAGCTGACCACATTATACAGGTCTCCAGCACTTTGATTTCCAGGTCCTAAATTACTATGCTACATTTGTACATATAAGTATATTGTAAAACTTTCTTACAGGAACTCACAATGTCAACATGGGCTCACATAACAAGATGAAAATGGCTTGTAAACTTGTCAGTTTACATTATTATGCTTCTCAATATATACAGCACAGGAGGACCAGGATTTACTTAGTCTCAGGTGCTAGTAACGGATTACCTAAGGCTTCTTTCGGGTATGCCCTGAAGAGTTGCTGCAGAAGTTCCGCCTCTGCAGCGCTTTCTCCGTTATCAACCCCGCCATCTCCCCCATAGCCCGCAGCCTCGAGAATATCCGTTGAGCTGCCCTCAGTAGATTAACTAAGTAGTCGTCATGAAAGCGCCGGTCCCGATGCGGGCGCGAAGAGACTCCTGGCGCTTTGGTCCGCACGTCGCCGACGTGTTGAAATAGCGACGGCACGTGCACGTATCCCGTCCGGTTGGCGCTAGTTAGATATTTGTTTAGGAGCCAATCCATAGGAGCCTCGGTGAAATGTTCCTCCACAAACCCTAGCAGGTCTTCGAGCGCAGACACGTTGAAAAGCAGAGCCTGAGCGCAGCAGGGAATTAGATATTCGTCGCCATGATCATATGGCCAGAGGTACGATTCGGGATAGTAAAGCGATAGGACCGTCCACTCCTTATCCTTCATGTCCTCGTTAATGAATTTCTCGATACCGATGTCGTAGAGCCGGGCTGGCCTTGTGTCGTCCTGAAGCAGAAGGATGTATTTCGGTTTCGTCGCCATGCACTGTCGCATCACGTACACGAAATCCATTACCAGCTTCGTTCGCCATCGCCAGGATTTCCAGCCGTCGCTGGCCATCTCGTTTGTCACGCCCAACTTTCGCAACTCCTCCTCGTCTTCCTGAACAAAGTCGCACGCATCTTGGCGAGATGGTAACACCGTTACATTCAGTGACGACTCATTTCCAGCTAATCTGAGAGCTTTCTCGTGCAGAACTCCCGCCATCGGCTCCTTTCGTTCTTCCAAGTCTTCCACAGGAGGAGTTGGTAGTACCGGCTCGGTAGCTGATTCCACGTGGCGCCGAGTCGCTCCGTCAACCAAGCTTCGTTTCGTCGTAGTAGGCCGTAGGTCCTCCTCCGAAGCGCCGCTGGCGTCTGACGGAGGGTTTGCGCGTGCTGCGGCTTGTTTCTTGAGGCGCTGTAGAATTTCCCGTTTTTCGTCGCAGCCAGAACTGTAGACCACGACGTTCATGTCTTTAAAGCCGCCAGAAATGTTAGACGGAGACCGTCGCTGTTCCAGCATTTCAAGGAGAGACACTGGGAAGTGCCACGGTGGCAGCTTGCGTCGTTCTGGAAAGACACGTGGCATCGACGCTATAGCCACGCAGACTTCAAGTTGATTGTCAGTGCTCTTGCTGCTACTCCCGTCGCTATCGGCGGGGAGCCCGTTTCCGCCGCTCTTTTGAGAATTCCCCGCCGTTTGCCCTCGCTTCCCGTTGCTGACACGCGTCGCGTCCTGGAGTGCGACATTTGGCTCGAAGTAGTCTCGTTTCACGTGGCGACGCATATGCAGAGGACTCAAATCCGTGTACGCCGTCAAATCCGATGCGTTTTTTGCTCCAGAGGCGTCATTGTCGTTCTCTGCTGTTGAATCAGTCGACTGACGAAGCTGTGCTGAAGCAAGGAACGTCCTCATAACGGATCTGGCGAACTTGGAGGGTAACCGGGTTACAGATTCTGACGCCGACTGTAACGAGGTCAACGGCGACTGTGGCGAGAGCAGCTGTCGCCTGTGAAACTCGAACACCTTAGCATGGCGATTGAACTTGGTACTGACCCAAGGCGCGAAGGTTAAAACGAGGCCACACACGAGCAGCAAGAGAGCGAGGCGGTAAGGTCTGGAGGGCCTCGTGCGTGGCGAAGTGGCATTGTGCCTGCTAAAGCAGTACTTGCTAACGAACTTGCTGTTAGTAGTAATAGGCTGGATCATGGTGCCTAAACGTGGTGATTGACGATTTTGCTAAGCCCCTGATACGATAGCAATTGATAAGCGGGCGGACACGGGTTTGACAACAGCAGACGATTCCCGGAGGATAAGTAGTAGGCCGTGCTGTGTGCGATAGCCTTTTGTTGACTCCTGATAGTCTGTCGGCGGCATGTGCCTATCTGATGCAACGGACTTTCGTTGGCCGCAATAGCCTATCGAGGAATGGGTCCTGTTGCTACGGCCTTGCTCTTCCTCTCTCGAGGCGCGAACACTTGCAGCAGTTTGTCGTCGACCCCGCCAGTTTCGGCCAGTGACGCCAGCAGAACAACTTGGCCTCCCCCGGGAACGGAGATGCGGGGAAAGGGGGAGACACGGCACTGCTGCAAGCAACATGGGATTTGGTTGCCGCTGTTTGTTTTGCCGACATCACAAGGAGGCGGGAAGGCTTTTTTGAAAGGGGAGTGAGCAGAGCAAGCAAACTGCGGTTGCGCCTCGAGATTAGTTGATGTGATGAGGGTGTGCTTATCATGGCTATGGCGATGGATCCGCTCTGCGCACATGGCTTGATGGTTGGATGTGGGCAATGGGGGAGATGGGCTAGGCGCTGGGGAATGATTGGCCGAAGGTGGTGCTGATTGGCTTGGGCGAGGCGATTTTTGTAACTATTGGCTTGGTTGGACGTCATGTTCCTGCAATCGCGCCACGAAAATGTCAGGTTTGCGGCAGGCAGGGATATTCGCGAAGTCGCGGATGTTCATGCGACCATGGTTGGGGATTGTTTGCGGAGGTAGAGAAATGCTAGCGAAAAATCGTCGAACCACAGCTGTTCTCAAGGTGGGCATTGGTTAGAATTGGCGAAAATGTGTAGGGGGAGAGGCAACTAGGGCTCACCCGTTACCATCGCCAGACCTAACTATCTCGCCATTACCGAGCCTGTCGACTTCCCATCTCATGCAAGCCAACCAAGACCCGCAACAAGGGTTGCTCCCATATGCCCATTCGTCAAGGCTGCTGCCTCGGCGGGAAGCGGAAAATTTTGCTCGTTCGAAACCTTCCGTTTGCCGTCGCAACAAGGGTTTGCTGTGTTTGGTCTGGTTCGGTTGGTAGAGAGACAAAGGTCACAAAACACAACGAGCACATATGTTCTGGTCGGTGGCGGGGCGGGCCAGGGGGGTCTGGTGGGCCAGCGGGCCTGGCGGGCACAACAAAATTTGGTGACCGCAGCCTGCCCACCGTCAGAAAAAACAACTGGGAAAAAACAGCAGAGACTTCGTTCCCGCTTTGGTTGGAAGTTGGAAGTTGGACGTTGGAGGTTGGTTGGATTGGAACCTCTGAGAATGCGAAAGCCTTTTGGAGAATGCAAAGGCCTTTAGAGGAGGGTGCATGGAAGGCCTTTCGGGAATGCAAGAGTCCTTTCCCAGAGCCGTTATTGCCGAGATTCTGCTGATATTGGGACTAGTGGGTGCCCCGTTATGCCGTTCAGCGATTGTAAGAAAACAAATACTTATTTTCCTATGGCAAAGTATGTGTGCCCGTGCCGCCCGCAACCTGAGGTGCCGCGTTCAGCCCTGGTCTAGTAACTAGTTCGTATCAAAGGAATGTATTCGTCTTAGCGTCGTCCCCGAGCCGCATCACGATTCACTGTTCACTTTCTAAGTTCCACGAGCCGTGGTTGGTAGCTGCTGGAGGTTCGTTCCCGTCTTCGATTCCCTTACTCCATTGCTATTTAGAAATACATGTCCAATGCGGTCTTGGAATGCCGTCTTCCAAGAGTAAATCTAGCAGCAAAGTAGACCATTAGCGTAGCTTCCGTCGAATGTTCGTGCTGTTCTGAGCCCCGTTGTCGATGCTATGCGCGCTCCGACGCGTGAGTGGACACTTCAGCAGCTGTAGTATTGCGAATGTATGGACCTTTTGGGACACGTCGCGCTGGATCTGGCTCCAATTCGTCTCCGTCTGTCTCCGTCTGTCTCCGTCTGCCTCCGACTCTGGTCTACTCCGATAATTGACCCACCCGTTCTAGGCGAGATTCAAAGCAGGAAGAAGTACGAATTGGCAGACGTCTGGCTGACCCACCCGTTGTAGGCGAGATTCAATTTTCCAGTCGTGCCGCGGCTATGGCCTGGGAATTCTCCCGTCAACTCCAATGTTCCGCGAAGAAGCGACGAGGACGGGCGAGATTTCGGCCCCCGCCGCGGCCGTTGTACAACGTACGAGTCGTCTGACTGGAACCGTGGTGTTTGTCGTTTCGTATTCCCGAATGCATTCTTAAATGTACCTTCCTTCCGGCCTATCAGGCATCGCCGTTTTCCACAGAGTGTGGTATGAGGAAGTTTCCACGAGAATGCAGCCTCCCCATATGCATCCACTTCCGTCCCCCATATCCCCCCCGCCCCCCGTTTTCCTCTTTCTCCTCCTCCCCTTTGCCCTTCCCAATGATGTCCCCCTCCCCTCTCCCCGTGTCAGATCTTCTGTTTATTGTCGTGTGCTGCTATCGTGGCTGCTGCTTCTAACGCGCCTTCTCTTACCGCATCGCCCTCCACGCCATCCACTTCTATCAAGTCTGCTTATAACGCAGCTGATCATCCCAGAGACCCTCCCGTCCGCAGCACCCCACACACCACACGTTCTGCGTTTAGATTGAGTCGAACGGTTTGGCCCCGAATGCATCTAAACCGCACTCTTAGAAGAAGCGTCAATCTAGTACACTCACCTCTTAGACGCGTCAGCTGCGGCAGAAGCATTAGAAGCAGCAACAGCAGTTTCGAGCGTTCAAGAAGAGTGATGCACGCCAGGGTTGAGCAGCCCATCAGCTCCCGTCCAACCACTGTTAAACTCAAGCTCAGCAACGTTGCTCCCACTGCCACTCCCCCGAGCAGCACTAGCAGCAACAGCAGTTTCGAGCGTTCAAGAAGAGTGATGCAAGCCAGGGTTAAGCAGCCCATCACCTCCGATCCAACCACTATCAGGCTCCGGCCCAATAACGTTGCTCCCACTGCCACTCGCTCTCCCAGGTACGCCCCACCCCACCCCGCCTTCGTTCCATTCCCCCTTCGCCCCATTCCCCCTTCGCCCCATTCCCCCTTCGCCCCATTCCCCCTTCGCCCCTCTCCCCCCTCCGTTCGTCACATCCCCCATTCGCCCCACTCCCCCTTCCTCCCACTCCCCCTATGCCCCATTCCGCCATCGCCCCATTCTCCCTTCGTCCCACTCCCCCTACGCCCCACTCCCCTCCCCTTCCCTTCCTCCTAGGTGCCTCCCTCTCGCCTTCACTTTCCCAGGTTTTCCCATTCATTTACATGGAGAAAAATCAAAGTCGCTTTCTTTTCCCTCCCCACTGCCCAAATTCCAGCCAATTGCCAGTCATCCCGTCAGACTTGGGCCCAGAAATAATATCCTATTGCGGGCAGGGTGTTTGCGCAAAGAACCCCAAGTGGTGCGGGGTAATGAACAACCCTATCCGCATCTACCTCGTGTGGTACGGAAGCTTCTCGGACACCCAGAACCTTCTGCGAACTTTCATCCACTCCTTCAGCAGCACTGAAGGCACAGGTGAGCGATACCAGGACTTTAGTTCCTCACAGGTGAGTGTATCAGCAGCAGAGGAAGCACCGGTGAATGTTCCAACGCCCTGAAGAATGTTCTCTGAACTTTCACCCGCTCCTTCAGCAGCACCAAAGGCAAGGCACACGTGCGAGTTTTTTCAAGGCAGCAGCATTGAAGGGCCTGCTGAGTCGTCTCAACTCGAGGTCTTCAAGGGGTGCCTGCCTCATACGAGCAGTTTACAACTCGCAGTCTTCGTGGCTTTAAGTTTTTGCAGTCTTCTCAGCACTGAAAGCCGTCACTCTAGAGTCTACATTTGAAGTCTGTTCCGGCCGCTACGTCTCCTCCTCTGTGACCTTGCCCAAGGAGCACCACGTGAGGTGTGCCACGTGGAGCACCACGTGAGGTGTGCCACGTGGAGCACCACGTGAGGGCGTGAGCCCCATTCCGTATCTCCCGCCCTTCCCCCACCCGCCCCCCCTCTTTCCCCAACAGTCGCTGACTGGTGGCGTACCAACTCTCTCTCCTATGACTTCTCTCCCCCCCCCTCTCTCTTCCTCTGTGGCCCTCCCTCGCAAGGGACCACCACGTGAGCAAAGAAGAACCACGTGTCTCTCTCGCGTTCCCCCTTCTTTCCCCCTCCACAAACCCCCCCAGCAGTCGCTGACTCGTGGCGAACCAACACCCTTTACTACGACTGCTACGGCCGCAACGTCTCCTCGTCTCTTCTGGGACCCTGGCAAGGGATCAACATGTGAGCAATGAAGAACCACGTCTCTCCCTCCCTTTCTCCCTCCCCCTCCCCACCTCCCGCAGTCGCTGACTGGTGGCGAACCAACACCCTCTATTACGACTGCTACGGCCGCTATGTCTCCTCCTCTGTGAGGTGCCTGTACCAGCATTTTTCGTTCCTGTCCCCTCCTCCCATCATCCCCACACAGTCGCTGACTGGTGGCGAACCAGCACCCTCTATTACGACTGCTACGGCCGCTACGTCTCCTCCTCTGTGAGGTGCCTGTACCAGCATTTTTCGTTCCTGTCCCCTCCTCCCATCATCCCCACACAGTCGCTGACTGGTGGAGAACCAACACCCTCTATTACGACTGCTACGGCCGCTACGTCTCCTCCTCTGTGAGGTGCCTGTACCAGCATTTTTCGTTCCTGTCCCCTCCTCCCATCATCCCCACACAGTCGCTGACTGGTGGAGAACCAACACCCTTTATTACGACTGCTCCGGCCGCTACGTCTCCTCTTCTGTAATTTTAGCAAAGGAGCACCACGTGAGGCGGCCTCTCAGGCTGCTGTTTGGGCTCAATTCGATAAGGCGGGTGGTAAACAAGAGGGTGAAGGGCGGCTCTTTCCCCCTGGATGAGGATGGGGTTTACTTTGTGATCGGCGATGGGAGTGTGGCTCAGGTGCGCAGCGGTGGAGTGCGGTGGTGGTGGGTATCTCGTGGTTTTAATAAGGCGGGTGGTGAACAAGAGGGTGAAAGGGGCACGTTCCCCCTGGATGAGGATGGAGTTTACTTTGTGATCGGCGATGGGAGTGTGGTGTGGCTCAGGTGCGTGCGTAAAGGTGGGGTGCGGTGGTGGTGGGTATCTCGTGGTTTGAAAAGGCTGCAGTTTGGGCTCAGGGCGACCTGCTGGGTGATAAAGAAGAGGGTGAAGGTTGGCATTTTGAGAATTCTCAAAAGGTTGGCATGTTTCCCTTTGATGAGGATGGAGTTTACTTTGTGATCGGCGATGGGAGTGTGGCTCAGGTGCCGTGGTGTAAGTGAGTGAGTGAGTGAGTGAGTGGGTGGGTGGGTGAGTGAGTGAGTGAGTGAGTGAGTGGGTGGGTGGGTGAGTGAGTGGGTGGGTGGGTGAGTGAGTGAGTGAGTGAGTGAGTGGGTGGGTGGGTGAGTGAGTGAGTGAGTTAGTGAGTGAGTGAGTGGGTGAGTGAGTGAATGGGTGGGTGAGTGAGTGAGTGTGACTGTCCATCAAAATTCTATATCTTGACCCGTTTCCGGCATCTCTCAACGAGCCCACACTCATTTCCTTGTCCCACGCCTCCCCACTGCTTCTCTCCCAACAGCGGGACAACCAAGGCGGCATGTGCAGCGCCTACTGCGGCTGGCACGACTTTGTGCGGATTCGGAAGAAGCTAATCAAAGTGGCTTATGTGGGCAGCCCAGTGAAGGTGGTGGGTATCTCGTGGTTTGAAAAGGCTGCAGTTTGGGCTCAGGGCGACCTGCTGGGTGATAAAGAAGAGGGTGAAGGTTGGCATTTTGAGAATTCTCAAAAGGTTGGCATGTTTCCCTTTGATGAGGATGGAGTTTACTTTGTGATCGGCGATGGGAGTGTGGCTCAGGTGCCGTGGTGTAAGTGAGTGAGTGAGTGAGTGAGTGGGTGGGTGGGTGAGTGAGTGAGTGAGTGAGTGAGTGGGTGGGTGGGTGAGTGAGTGGGTGGGTGGGTGAGTGAGTGAGTGAGTGAGTGAGTGGGTGGGTGGGTGAGTGAGTGAGTGAGTTAGTGAGTGAGTGAGTGGGTGAGTGAGTGAATGGGTGGGTGAGTGAGTGAGTGTGACTGTCCATCAAAATTCTATATCTTGACCCGTTTCCGGCATCTCTCAACGAGCCCACACTCATTTCCTTGTCCCACGCCTCCCCACTGCTTCTCTCCCAACAGCGGGACAACCAAGGCGGCATGTGCAGCGCCTACTGCGGCTGGCACGACTTTGTGCGGATTCGGAAGAAGCTAATCAAAGTGGCTTATGTGGGCAGCCCAGTGAAGGTGTGTTGTGTGGTGAGGGGGTGTTGAGAGTGGTGAGGTAGTTGTGAGCCAAGGTGCCATGTGCAGCGCCTACTGCGGCTGGCACGACTTTGTGCGGATTCGGAAGAAGCTAATCAAAGTGGCTTATGTGGGCAGCCCAGTGAAGGTGTGTTGTGTGGTGAGGGGGTGTTGAGAGTGGTGAGGTAGTTGTGAGCCAAGGTGCCATGTGCAGCGCCTACTGCGGCTGGCACGACTTTGTGCGGATTCGGAAGAAGCTCATCAAAGTGGCTTATGTGGGCAGCCCTGTCAAGGTTTGTGCTGTGGTAGAGAGTTGTTTTGAGGGTTGAGAGTGGTGAGAGGGTGGTGAGAGTGGTTTTAGACGGTTGAGAGTGGTGAGGGAGTGGTGAGCCCAGACCAGCAGAAGCTCATCAAAGTGGCTTATGTGGGCAGCCCTGTGAAGGTGCGTGATGATGGAGGCTTGAGAGTGGTTAGAGAGGGTTGAGAGTGGTGAGAAAGTTCTCAGAGAGTGCTGAGCCCAGAAGAAGCTTATGAAGGTGGCTCATATAGGCAGCCTATTTCTCTCCATTACCCCTCAATCAACCATTTTCCCATCCCTCTCCCACTCCCCAGTGCCCCAGCAGCTGCTGGATGGCTGCCTTTGCATTCAACAGCAGCCCCAACAGGGATAAGCCGTTTGACTCGTTCCCATCCACCTTCTTGCACAATCATCCCTTCCCTGCCCCCAAATCCCCCCTTCCATTCCCCCCCATATCCATCCCGCCAGTGCCCCAGCAGCTGCTGGATGGCTGCCTTTGCATTCAATGGCAGCCCGAACGGCGATCGGTCGTTTGACTCGCTGCTCTCCACGTTTGCTCACGAGCTGGCAGAGGCCACGAGTGATCCCTATGTCACCAATTGGTACGACGCTGCTGGGCAGGAGAACGCCGACATATGTGCCTGGAAGTGAGTGAAGAGGGGGTGTGAGGGGGAGGGGGAAGGATGGATACTCGGTGTGCAGAGGCGACGAGTGATCCCTGTGTGACCAATTGGTACGATGCCGCTGGACAGGAGAACGCTGACATATGCACCTGGAAGTGAGTATGGGGACGCTGACATATGCACCTGGAAGTGAGTATGGGGACGCTGACATATGCACCTGGAAGTGAGTATGGGGACGCTGACATATGCACCTGGAAGTGAGTATGGGGACGCTGACATATGCACCTGGAAGTGAGTATGGGGACGCTGACATATGCACCTGGAAGTGAGTATGGGGACGCTGACATATGCACCTGGAAGTGAGTATGGGGACGCTGACATATGCACCTGGAAGTGAGTATGGGGACGCTGACATATGCACCTGGAAGTGAGTATGGGGACGCTGACATATGCACCTGGAAGTGAGTATGGGGACGCTGACATATGCACCTGGAAGTGAGCATGGGGACGCTGACATATGCACCTGGAAGTGAGTATGGGGACGCTGACATATGCACCTGGAAGTGAGTATGGGGACGCTGACATATGCACCTGGAAGTGAGTATGGGGACGCTGACATATGCACCTGGAAGTGAGTATGGGGACGCTGACATATGCACCTGGAAGTGAGTATGGGGACGCTGACATATGCACCTGGAAGTGAGTATGGGGACGCTGACATATGCACCTGGAAGTGAGTATGGGGACGCTGACATATGCACCTGGAAGTGAGTATGGGGACGCTGACATATGCACCTGGAAGTGAGTATGGGGACGCTGACATATGCACCTGGAAGTGAGTATGGGGACGCTGACATATGCACCTGGAAGTGAGCATGGGGACGCTGACATATGCACCTGGAAGTGAGTATGGGGACGCTGACATATGCACCTGGAAGTGAGTATGGGGACGCTGACATATGCACCTGGAAGTGAGTATGGGGACGCTGACATATGCACCTGGAAGTGAGCATGGGGACGCTGACATATGCACCTGGAAGTGAGTATGGGGACGCTGACATATGCACCTGGAAGTGAGTATGGGGACGCTGACATATGCACCTGGAAGTGAGTATGGGGACGCTGACATATGCACCTGGAAGTGAGTATGGGGACGCTGACATATGCACCTGGAAGTGAGCATGGGGACGCTGACATATGCACCTGGAAGTGAGTATGGGGACGCTGACATATGCACCTGGAAGTGAGTATGGGGACGCTGACATATGCACCTGGAAGTGAGTATGGGGACGCTGACATATGCACCTGGAAGTGAGCATGGGGACGCTGACATATGCACCTGGAAGTGAGTATGGGGACGCTGACATATGCACCTGGAAGTGAGTATGGGGACGCTGACATATGCACCTGGAAGTGAGCATGGGGACGCTGACATATGCACCTGGAAGTGAGTATGGGGACGCTGACATATGCACCTGGAAGTGAGTATGGGGACGCTGACATATGCACCTGGAAGTGATTATGGGGACGCTGACATATGCACCTGGAAGTGAGTATGGGGACGCTGACATATGCACCTGGAAGTGAGTATGGGGACGCTGACATATGCACCTGGAAGTGAGTATGGGGACGCTGACATATGCACCTGGAAGTGAGTATGGGGACGCTGACATATGCACCTGGAAGTGAGTATGGGGACGCTGACATATGCACCTGGAAGTGAGTATGGGGACGCTGACATATGCACCTGGAAGTGAGCATGGGGACGCTGACATATGCACCTGGAAGTGAGCATGGGGACGCTGACATATGCACCTGGAAGTGAGTATGGGGACGCTGACATATGCACCTGGAAGTGAGTATGGGGACGCTGACATATGCACCTGGAAGTGAGTATGGGGACGCTGACATATGCACCTGGAAGTGAGTATGGGGACGCTGACATATGCACCTGGAAGTGAGTATGGGGACGCTGACATATGCACCTGGAAGTGAGTATGGGGACGCTGACATATGCACCTGGAAGTGAGTATGGGGACGCTGACATATGCACCTGGAAGTGAGTATGGGGACGCTGACATATGCACCTGGAAGTGAGTATGGGGACGCTGACATATGCACCTGGAAGTGAGTATGGGGACGCTGACATATGCACCTGGAAGTGAGTATGGGGACGCTGACATATGCACCTGGAAGTGAGTATGGGGACGCTGACATATGCACCTGGAAGTGAGTATGGGGACGCTGACATATGCACCTGGAAGTGAGTATGGGGACGCTGACATATGCACCTGGAAGTGAGTATGGGGACGCTGACATATGCACCTGGAAGTGAGTATGGGGACGCTGACATATGCACCTGGAAGTGAGTATGGGGACGCTGACATATGCACCTGGAAGTGAGTATGGGGACGCTGACATATGCACCTGGAAGTGAGTATGGGGACGCTGACATATGCACCTGGAAGTGAGTATGGGGACGCTGACATATGCACCTGGAAGTGAGTATGGGGACGCTGACATATGCACCTGGAAGTGAGTATGGGGACGCTGACATATGCACCTGGAAGTGAGTATGGGGACGCTGACATATGCACCTGGAAGTGAGTATGGGGACGCTGACATATGCACCTGGAAGTGAGTATGGGGACGCTGACATATGCACCTGGAAGTGAGTATGGGGACGCTGACATATGCACCTGGAAGTGAGTATGGGGACGCTGACATATGCACCTGGAAGTGAGTATGGGGACGCTGACATATGCACCTGGAAGTGAGTATGGGGACGCTGACATATGCACCTGGAAGTGAGTATGGGGACGCTGACATATGCACCTGGAAGTGAGCATGGGGACGCTGACATATGCACCTGGAAGTGAGCATGGGGACGCTGACATATGCACCTGGAAGTGAGCATGGGGACGCTGACATATGCACCTGGAAGTGAGTATGGGGACGCTGACATATGCACCTGGAAGTGAGTATGGGGACGCTGACATATGCACCTGGAAGTGAGTATGGGGACGCTGACATATGCACCTGGAAGTGAGTATGGGGACGCTGACATATGCACCTGGAAGTGAGTATGGGGACGCTGACATATGCACCTGGAAGTGAGTATGGGGACGCTGACATATGCACCTGGAAGTGAGTATGGGGACGCTGACATATGCACCTGGAAGTGAGTATGGGGACGCTGACATATGCACCTGGAAGTGAGTATGGGGACGCTGACATATGCACCTGGAAGTGAGTATGGGGACGCTGACATATGCACCTGGAAGTGAGTATGGGGACGCTGACATATGCACCTGGAAGTGAGTATGGGGACGCTGACATATGCACCTGGAAGTGAGTATGGGGACGCTGACATATGCACCTGGAAGTGAGTATGGGGACGCTGACATATGCACCTGGAAGTGAGTATGGGGACGCTGACATATGCACCTGGAAGTGAGTATGGGGACGCTGACATATGCACCTGGAAGTGAGTATGGGGACGCTGACATATGCACCTGGAAGTGAGTATGGGGACGCTGACATATGCACCTGGAAGTGAGTATGGGGACGCTGACATATGCACCTGGAAGTGAGTATGGGGACGCTGACATATGCACCTGGAAGTGAGTATGGGGACGCTGACATATGCACCTGGAAGTGAGTATGGGGACGCTGACATATGCACCTGGAAGTGAGTATGGGGACGCTGACATATGCACCTGGAAGTGAGTATGGGGACGCTGACATATGCACCTGGAAGTGAGTATGGGGACGCTGACATATGCACCTGGAAGTGAGTATGGGGACGCTGACATATGCACCTGGAAGTGAGTATGGGGACGCTGACATATGCACCTGGAAGTGAGTATGGGGACGCTGACATATGCACCTGGAAGTGAGTATGGGGACGCTGACATATGCACCTGGAAGTGAGTATGGGGACGCTGACATATGCACCTGGAAGTGAGTATGGGGACGCTGACATATGCACCTGGAAGTGAGTATGGGGACGCTGACATATGCACCTGGAAGTGAGTATGGGGACGCTGACATATGCACCTGGAAGTGAGTATGGGGACGCTGACATATGCACCTGGAAGTGAGTATGGGGACGCTGACATATGCACCTGGAAGTGAGTATGGGGACGCTGACATATGCACCTGGAAGTGAGTATGGGGACGCTGACATATGCACCTGGAAGTGAGTATGGGGACGCTGACATATGCACCTGGAAGTGAGTATGGGGACGCTGACATATGCACCTGGAAGTGAGTATGGGGACGCTGACATATGCACCTGGAAGTGAGTATGGGGACGCTGACATATGCACCTGGAAGTGAGTATGGGGACGCTGACATATGCACCTGGAAGTGAGTATGGGGACGCTGACATATGCACCTGGAAGTGAGTATGGGGACGCTGACATATGCACCTGGAAGTGAGTATGGGGACGCTGACATATGCACCTGGAAGTGAGCATGGGGACGCTGACATATGCACCTGGAAGTGAGCTATGGGGACGCTGACATATGCACCTGGAAGTGAGTATGGGGACGCTGACATATGCACCTGGAAGTGAGTATGGGGACGCTGACATATGCACCTGGAAGTGAGCATGGGGACGCTGACATATGCACCTGGAAGTGAGCATGGGGACGCTGACATATGCACCTGGAAGTGAGCATGGGGACGCTGACATATGCACCTGGAAGTGAGCATGGGGACGCTGACATATGCACCTGGAAGTGAGTATGGGGACGCTGACATATGCACCTGGAAGTGAGTATGGGGACGCTGACATATGCACCTGGAAGTGAGTATGGGGACGCTGACATATGCACCTGGAAGTGAGTATGGGGACGCTGACATATGCACCTGGAAGTGAGTATGGGGACGCTGACATATGCACCTGGAAGTGAGTATGGGGACGCTGACATATGCACCTGGAAGTGAGTATGGGGACGCTGACATATGCACCTGGAAGTGAGTATGGGGACGCTGACATATGCACCTGGAAGTGAGTATGG